AGACAAATCCTTTATGAATACTAGATCCTTGGCTTCCATTGCCTGGAGGCAGTGGCCATCACGTGTGTGGTCTGTTGAGAAAGAGCAGAAGGTGTGGAGCGGACACCACATGCATCTGGTCTTAGTTGCAACTCTATGCAAATATGTCAAGAAAGCCGGGGCCCTGCGGTGTGGCTCAGTGGTTGAGCGTCAAGCCCTGCACCAAGAGGTTGCCGGTTCGATTCCCGGGCAGGGCACAGACCCAGATTGTGGGCCCAATCCCTAGTGGGCGGCCTGCCAGAGGCGGCCAATCGATGTTTCTATCTCTCTCTAAAATCAGTAAAGAAAAAAATTAAAAAAAAAAAAAAAGCCATGAGATTTGGAGCCTCATACCTAAACCAAGGTCACAAATCCCCATGCCTACAAGGCCACAGGGACACCGTGCAAGAGAACTACGTACGCAAACATTAAAACTGAAATAGCTTATCAAATAAAACCACCCGGTGAACCCCGTGAATCCATGCCATCCCACTTAACAGCCTCTGATCTTAAGAGCTGAGGTCACTTAAATGGTATCATTTCTCTTCTGAAATCATCAGATAAAGAATATGTGGACCAAATGAGAACAAGCAACTAGTACAAAGTTGAGTAGGTCAATAGAAATTTCGAGTTCTTTTTAAGTGTTGGGGAAAAGCTGACACTGGCTACCTGACGGTTTCTACGCCTAAGTCAGGACAATGTGGTTAATGTCCAGAAGCCACAATGTGGACTGCCGTACCCAAAGCCCACCACTTCTTGGATGACTCACCCCATCGGGACCATATGAGCTCTGGGACCGTGTTATTCTGGACCAGGGGTAAAACAGGGAAGGGAGGACTCTGGACAAGGATGGACTTGAAAGCTCAACTGTTAAGTGGAGAAAGCAAAACTCTTTGTAAAGCCACCCTGCAAATCGCTCGGCCATCGTTTGCGGGGGATCCAGCCTGTCGGCTGGTCTGGGGACCCCGCGTGCCGTGCTTCCCGCGGAGTCTCCGCAGGGCCGTTGTCCCCTTTCGGGCCTTGGAAGTCATGCTTGGGAAAGTCAGTCCATTTGCGGGGAGACTGGTTTCCTGCTACTGCTCATATTTTCACTAAAACCTTGTTTTACTGGAACCAACATTGAAAAAAACAGCACATTTTATTCAAAACAAGGCAATATTGGTATTGACAGCACTGTAGTGCTAATGAGGACGATCAATTTCCCTCCTCCATTACAGAGTATTGAGCCGTGTCGGAGAAACTTGTGGTATCATTAGGCACGGTCAGCGTTTCTCCAGTTTGAAAACTTTCTCTTTTGCATATTTAGATTCTAAGTGTTCCTGCTGGTGGGGGTGGGCGTGGGGCTGGAAGGGGGGAGGAAGCAAAACAAATAACGCCCCCCCCAAAGCCCTCAAAGCAGAAAGCAAAGTGCTGGTAATGCAAACAAAAGAGTGTAGACATTTCTTTGTAATTCTGATTAATAATACATTGTGGTGTTATTTTTGCATCTTGCTTCATACAATTATCCCACCCACCCAAGACTCCCCAACTCTCCCCCCAGACTAAAAGACTGCAGTTACCAAAAGCAAGTTCTGGGCGATGGAAGTCCCAGGCAGAGGGCGGGAGCTCCTTTCTGTTGGAGAAGAGGGAGGAGGGGGGCGAGGGGCAGGCCCGCTGGCCGCTGGCTGGGAGGGGACACTGACAGCATCAGAGGAAAGGCCCGGGAGGGGTCCAGGGTGCTGGGAGGTTTCCACAGGGGAGCGCTCTTCAGAGGACGAGAATGGGGCTGTTACTGCAGATGAGCTGTGGCCTTTCCACCTTCTTCTGTTCTGATTCCCGTGGACCCCACACGTCCCTTTCCCAGGCCAGGCTGGCTGTGTAGACACCACCGTGACGGGGTGTTACCCCTTAGGCAGCTGTAACAAAACACCACAGACTAGGGGCGTATGCACAACAGATTTGATATCTCACTGGTCTGGAGGCTGGGAAGCCCACAATCAAGATGCTGGCAGAGTCCGTATCTGGTGAGACATGGTGGCCCTCCTCCCACTGTCCTCACGTGGGGAAGGGAGGAGGGACCCTCTTTTATAAGGACACTAACCCCATTCGTGAGGGCTCCTCGTGACAGTCACTTCCCACGGCCCCGTCTCCAAACATTGTCTCACTGGGGGTTAGGTTCCAACATGTGCATTTGGGGACATAAACATTCAGCCCATCGAGGGACCATCATCATCTCCAAGCAGCTCAATTTCTCCTGACAGCAGCGACGGTGCACATGAAGACGTTTCAGAAGGGCAAAATCCTGGAAAACCATTCTAACTTGGTTAGACCTTAAACTGCAGCTTAGTCGTCTCCAGTTTTACCGAATACGTTGTGAAGATGGGGTTTCACTGAATGCCATCCGTTTGAGGCCTGAGCGATGGGCACCATGCTTCTGGGAGAGAGGTTGGAAGTCAGGAGGTGAACGTGTGACTTTTGTTTTCAAAAAAATCTAGAAACGAATCAACATTGTAAATATGTTTCATCACACGATTTAGTCCTTGAAGCATATGCAGTACAAACTGTTCTGACAAGCAGCGGGAGAATGCTATTGTGTTCATACCTGTCCCTTAGGGGTACGTCCTCTTGACCCCCTGGGCAGGGTGCCCCCACAGGACTGCACGTGTGGGGAGGAGACAGTGGAAGGAGGTGATTCTGAGCCAGACTTTGCCCTTCCTATGTGGCCCGGACAGCTGACTTTCCTGGGCTTAGTTTCCTCATCTGTAAAATGGGTGTAGTAATAATAGTCTCATAGTGTTCCTCGCAGGGACTATCTAATGCATACAACCTGCTTCATCTGGGGCCTGATACATCCTGAACATTCCCATCGCTGAGTAAAATTTGGCCCCCAAACTCGGTGCCAGGCCCAGACTTCCTTATTACTCCCAGGCCCGGGGGACCCCTCCCCTCTCAGGTTCCGTACATTCTCTGCTCGAACCCATCTCCCGCTGGGCTGAGACTGTCTCCTCCCCTCTAACCTTTGCTCCCGGATCCCCTTGAGAGCAGGGACTTACTCACCTTGACGTGCCTCGGACCTTGCACAGATCTGACATTGAAGAGGGAAGTAATAATTGTTTGAAGAACAAGAGGGAGACAAGGAGGCAGGGAAGGGCCTCTGATGGGGACACGTGTGGGTGAAGGTGGTCTGGAATTCTGTGGACCGGGAGCCAGTTCTCCTTAGAGAAGAGTGTTCCGTAAGCACTACAGTTGCTGCTGACTGCACGGTGGTGGGCTCACTGAGACTCCATCTACACTGCCCCAGGGTTCTCTTGAAACCGCAGCTCAGGCCAAGGCGTGTGATGTGAAAACATGTGAGTGCCTCAGCTCGGGTTCCCTGGAGCTGGAGGCCAAGACGGGTGCCTGTGAGGGGATTTGTTCATGGAGGGATATGGGGCAGCGAGCGAGGAAAGCAGGAGGGAGCTGAGTGGGGTGCTGTCAGCTGAGGTCTCACTCAGCTGGAGCCCATGGGGCTCTGAGCACGAATTGCACCACAGAGGCTAACGGCCATGACCTCATTGGCTATAGTCTGAGGGGTGTGTGTGTATGCTTGCATGTAGGTGTGCAAGTGTGTGCACGCATGCGTGTACAGGCACACATGCACATGCAGGTATGCCCACACGTGTGCATGTACACATGTTTGTGTTTATTCACGTGTGGTCATGTCTATGCTTTTATATGTGTGTGGCATGTGTACATGCTATATGCGTTCACATACATGCGTGCACATGCACATTTATGCATGCATGTGCATGCATGGACATATACATGAGGGCTACATAGCCCCTGGGCAGGGCAGCTCTCACTTAGGGGAGGGCATTCCTCCAGAAAAGGGGCAGCTGTGATTGGTCCACTTACCCAGAAAGGAGACCTGGGTGGGACCTCAGAGCATCTACTGGGAACATTCCATTCAGATTTAACTGGCATCCCTGGCCCTTCAGATGGGATTCTATACACAGTGTGAGGGGATTGGGTGGCCTTTGTAAAGGGAAGGCCCCGCCCCACCCTCCACATGTGTATATCCGGGAGGGCAGGGAATTCCGGAGGGTTGTCTTTTTATGAAGAGAGGAAGTGTCAGGATGAGGTGTTGTGTTTGGCCCAGATATGTCCTGAGCCAACTCTGCGCTCTGTACCCCGAGCCTCCGGGATGCGGACAGTGCAGTGACCTGGCAGGGTAAGAGAGGAGCATGCGTGTGTGCCAGAATGTGCCTGAACTGGAGAGCAGGATGAGGGACACGCGGAGGGTGGAAGGGACACACCGCCTGGGAGGTGAAGGGGACGGTCACTGAAAGCTTCCACAGGAGTAGACTCCAGCTGGCCGGGCCACCTGGGTGTGTTCCCATACACACATGGGGACGAGGAAGGGCCGCCCCGCCGCAGCCCGCAGCGTGGGGCTGTGTCCCGAGGCCCACACACCCAGGCGCTTGCCAAGGCTGCACTGCGACCCCAAGGCAGCACCCTTCCTGAGGGGGGCCGGCTGGGCGGAGGGGAGGCGGGCCCGCCAGAGGGCACAGCCGCCACCGGGCCCACCCACCTCGACATTCACAGGACACAAACCTGCTGGACCGATTTCCTGTCTCATGGGAGAGGCCATTGTCTGGACTTTAGTGAAATCTCCAGACTTACAAAGTTTAGCGATGAATTCAGAAATTACTTCAAGATCGTGGCTCACAAACACCCATCTCTGGGCACACGTGGTCTCGCCTGCCAGTTGGCAGGCTGCTCTAGGCCTCTGCCTCTTTGGCATCTAGTCATAGTGGCCCGTCCTGCTGCAGATGAGCCTCTAGGGATGTGAGGAGGGCACGTCTGAGGTCCTTGGGACAGATGGGACAGTCGGTGGAAAGAGCCTGTGATGGGTGAGGTCTCCTGGCCCTGCAACCAATCCGTGGCCTAACTGGGGACCTATCCAGGGCGCCTACAAAACATTCTGACCCAAGGACTCCCCCCGGGCCTTGGTTGCTTCTTAGCTTTCCAGGGAGATCCAGTGCTCCGTGGCCAACCACATCCAGTCCCTGGTGAAGTCGGAGAAGAACCGTCAGATCATGTGTGAGGCGGGGATGCTCAGGACCCTCATGACCTCCTGCCACCAGGCCCTGGCCACCGGCAGCGGCTCCCTGCACTGCAGCCTCATCAGGATCTTTGAAAAGCTCGCTTCTCAGGCTATTGAACCGGACGTGTTAAGGTACCTGTGCCCCCAGAGAACGCTGCTGAGCCCGACAGTGCGCTCAGCACAGTGGGATGGCAGAGGGCACGAGCAGCTGTCCCCCGTCCCTCCGCCATCCGTGGGTGTGGCCCTTCCCAACACTGGGCACTGCAAGTCCAGGAAGGGGCCCTGGGCAGTGCGGGCAGTGTGAGGGCCACAAGGCAGACCGAGGCCCTCCCGTGAGCGGATGTCTTGGGGAGAGGGGACAGCCGTCACAGGGCCCCGTGGCCTCACAGAACAGTGCTGCAGGTGCTCGGCGGTGCTGGAGCTGGGAGCTGGGAGTCGGGCGGGCTTCAGGGAAGCAGGAGAGGAGGAAGCCCGGCGTGGGAGAGCAGGGGGGCGCCGAAGGCCTGGGGTGCCGAGAGGCTGCTGCAGGGAGTTCAGCTGGTGTGAGGGGCAGAGGTCCAGACTCCTGGCGAGGAGGACCACAGAGACAGCACCACTGTATCCTACAGGCCTTCCCATGGCAGCCCCCCCATGAAACCAGGGTTCCCAGACAGCTGCAGGAGGGAGGAGGGGGCACAGGGTGCAGTGGGCACAGAGGACAAAAGGCGGAGCAGGGAGAGGTCGCAGGAGGGAGGTCACGAGTGTCCCAAGTGCCTGCAGCCGGGCCGCCCAGGCAGGCCCACGTGAGGGTAGCAGTGCCCTGGGTCACGTGCCCCATGGCGGGGGTGGGGGGGGGCGGAGGACAGCAGGCCTGGGGCTCAGGGCCAGCCTCTTTGTGCCTCTGGCTTAATTCGGCTGTTTGCTGAATTCCACTAGAAACTTCTAAAACATGGTTGACCAGGTTATTTTCCAATAGATTTCTTTTCCTCCCGAGGCCCAGTCGAGGCTCCTAGCTGGTCACTGGTTATGTCGAAAACACCTTAAACTTCAAAGCTCATCAGCTGTCTGGTCTGGGTGCTAGCAGAGGAAGGGCCTGTTTCTGCACGGTCCAAGGAAGGGTTTCCAGGCAGAGGGGGGTGTGCTTGGAGGGGTCGGGTGGTGGGGTACAGAAGAGCGCTCAGCTGAAGCTGGAGAAAACTCTGCCTGTAACTGTCTTCTTCATTTGTTCCTGTCGGCTGCGGTGCTCAGACAGTTTCTAGGTCTCGGGGCACCCTCACCTCCGTCAGCTGTGACGAAAGTCCCCAGTTCATCCCTTGGGCACGGAGGGACCTCCGGATGCTCAGGTGAGGGCACGGGAAAGAACAGGGCAGGTTAACGGGAATGAGAAAAACATGCCTTTCGTATAAGGGCTCATTTACCACGAACAAGAAGCAGATAGACTTAAAGAATGGTTTTGCCTGCTGCTCAGTGGAGAAATGAGGAACAGCAGAGGCATCGGGGGTCCCCTGAGAGACAGGCAGTGGTGAGCATGTACTTGAGCCTTTGGGCCCAGACCACAGAACAGCTGGGGTACCCGCTGCTGCTTCTGGATGGAGGAGCGTAGGGATGAGTTTCTGCACAGCTCACAGCTGCAGGCTTGTGGGGTCGGGAGGCCAAGCCTTGGGTGGATCCCCTGGATTAGGCCTGGGCCTGGGACGATGCTGGTCCAGGGACCTAGCCTGGAGAAGAGAGAGCTGTGGACACACTAAATGTAAGGACACAGGGAACATTAAGGCACAGAGCCCCAATCAGAAAGCCAGGATAAAGGGTCCAGCTTGGGCTGCAGCCAGGGCAGGAGAAGAGCTTGGAGGAGACCGGCTGCTCTGAAGAGGGTGGAGGTTGGCGGCTGCCGCTGGCCAAGCGGCGACAGCAAAGAGATGGGGCATCTGGGAGTCCAGGGAGATGTTTCTAGGAGCAGTGGGTTGTGCCCGTGGTTCACTCCAAAACCAGCAGAGCCCAGGGGCAGGGCCAGGAGAACCGCGCTCAGGGGTAAGGGAGTAAGTGTGAGGGGACTGCAGAGCCCCCTTCCGGGCTGTGGCAGCCATGGCGGGGCCACTGTCAGAAGGTCGAGATGTTTGAGCAACAGCAGTCTCTCCTCCTACCCTAGGGTCCCAGGCAGGGGCCCCAGCGCCCACCCAGGGTGCTGCCGGAGCCGGCCGGGATGCCAGCCCGTGGCCAGCAGTGACACAGGCCCCAGGGCCCTCGGGGCTGTCCCCGGGCTTCACCCCTGCCCTCCAGACAGCCCTGAGCCTCATCTCCATGACCTCCCCGCGCAACCTGCAGCCTCAGAGGGCCGCCCTGGCCCCGTCGTTCGTGGAGTTCGACATGTCCGCGGAAGGCTATGGGTATGACGGCTTTCATATGTTCAACGTACGTAGTCAGCTTCCCAGGGCCCAGAGGGAGTGTATGCTGGTGAAGAACTGCAGTGGCTGTCAGCTCTCACCACTCAGCACGAACTGCGGCTGGGTCTCCATCCTCAGGGCCAGCACCCCTCCTTCCCCTGGCTGTGTCTGCATTCTGGAATGTTCTCTCTTCCAGCCTGCAGTTGGGATTCCTTTTGTTAGGACTGTAGCACCAGCATCAGCCATTTCCTGTCCCCGTGGCCCCTGGTCTGAGCGCCGTGAGGACGCTGCAGAGAGGGGGCTTGGCAGGCCAGGACCGGTGTGGCCACTGACCCGAGGCACTCTCCTGTTTCCAGGTGCGTGTTTGTCCCGACCCTGTCCACGGTCATGGGGGCCAGCACCGAGTACTCGGTCTCCGGAGGCATCGGGACAGGTAGGTGCTGCCGGGGGTCAGCTCGCTGCGCCCCAGCTCTGCCCAGAGGTCAGTCCGCAGGAAGCCTTCGTTTCCACTGGGCGTTTCGAGAACCATGAGTCGTCCTCGTGGTGCCGTGTCTGTGGATGAGTCATCCTCCCAGTGTGTCCCGCCTGTCTTCGGGCAGGGGGGTCCTGTGCCTGTGCATCCGAGGCCCCGCGCACGGCCTGGCACATGGCAGGGGCTCAGTGGGGACCAGGCTGCCGAGCCTGGCCTTCGTTCACTTTGTCGGTGACTGAGGCTGAAGTGGACGCCTCACCCTTCTTATGGCTCGCGAGAGAAGTATGAGTCCTGTACTGAAGGCCGTCCGGAACCAGCCTGTCCTGGGCTCAGGTCTGGGGTCGGGCTCGGCCTTGCACGCTCTGCACAGTGCTGTCTTCAGCCGACACCAGGCACCCTCTGTGAGGAGAGCCGGGTGTCCGTGGGAAGGGGGGTGCCATGGGGCCATTGCATTCATGGTGCATCCGTGTGGGGTGCCCAGCCTGCTTCTGCTCATTCGGAGAGGACGGCGGGTCCATGGGTTTCCTCGGAGTGGAGCATTTCCCTGCAAGGTTCAGCCCTCAGACCCACGCTGCCTGGCTCCGCGTCCACTGACCAGAGGCCAAACGGTGGCAGATCTCAGGGTCATGCCCCCTCCGCCCCCTTGGCAAGGCAGCTTGGAGTAACGGGGCAAGATGGGAGAGAGTGAGGGTCTGGGCGCAGGTCCTGGGACTGTGACTCTCCTGGGAGGATGAATAGGGGGACAAGAGCATCCTGCTGGTGGGCCGATGTGCAGTGGGCATGGTCAGGGGGCACAGGCTGGCACACAGTAGGGCCCACCGGGTGAATCCAAGCCACAGCGAGACTCAATGCGCGTCCACAGCAGGACGGAAGCTGATGGCGCTTGTATTCTGACCACAGGCGCTGCCAGGACCTTCCCTCCGCCCGGGGGCTTGACTTTCTCCTGCTGGTTCCTCATCAGCAGGCACAGTGCGGTCGCCGAGGGCCACCCACTGCGCTTCCTGACCCTGGTGCGCCACCTGGCCAGGACCGAGCAGCCCTTCGTCTGCTTCTCCGTCAGCCTCTGCCCGGACGATCTCTCCTTGGTGGTGTCCACGGAGGAGAAGGAGTTTCAGCCTCTGGGTAAGGTGTTGGGGGCCGAAGCTGGTTCCTCCCACACTCGGGAAAGATGGGCAAGGCCAGCAGCTGTTGGCGCCGGGGCCCAGGAGCCGCACCCTCCAGCCACAGTGCTGGTGCGGGGCCTGCTCTGTGATCACGTCCTGGCTCTCCCAGCTTGCCGGCCTGCCATGGCCCTGAGTGGCCCAGATGGCCCAGCTCAGTGAATCCTGGCCACCTGTCCTTCTGGGCCCTGAAAGTGTCACTTTCACAGTGAAACACGGGGAGGCCCAGAGGAGGGCTTGGCATTCTTGACACACAACACGACTGTCCTTTCCTCGCTCCTTCTGAGGACTTCGCCATCACTGTGGAGGTGGTCTGGGTGCACCTGGAGTTTGACTCCTGGATGTGACCTTGGGCAAGTTACTAATCTCTCTGTGCCTCAGGGTGGTGAAATGGGAATCATAACAGCACTGGCCTCACAGTGAAATGAGCTGATATTTGTAATAGTCCTCACAACAGGGTCTGGCACAAAGCAAGACCTCAGCAGTGATAGCTGCTGTCGTCATTATAAGTTGGGCGTGGCCAGGGCTCCTCTGACATGAGGCCCTGTTCTCCTGGGTGGCTTGCAGCCCAAGCCATGTGTGAGGTCTGGTGTGTGTCCTCTCTTCCAGATGTCATGGAGCCCGAGGATGACGTGGAGCCCTCTGCCGGACGCCAGCTTCGGGTCAGGTGTGGCCAGCTGCTGGCCTGTGGTCAGTGGCATCACCTGGCTGTGGTTGTCACCAGGGAAATAAAAAGGAGTTGTACTGTTTCCACCTATCTGGACGGACAGGCCATTGGCTCAGCCAAGGTGAGATGGCTCCCCCGGCTGTGCGTGCCTATCACCACTTCATCTAGTTCTTCCTGTGTGGACGGCACCCCTGTCCCCAGCCGAGCAGTGCTCCGTGGTGGGGACGCACAACCTCGCAAACATCTGGGTGTCTCCCGTTTGGGGCTACTGCAAACAAAGCTGCTATGAACATTTGTGTACAGTTTTTTGTGTGACTGTGAGTCTTCACTTCTCTGAGGTGAATACCTAAGGCTCCAGTTGCCGGGGTCTGTGCTGCGGCAATGACAGGTTTGTTTGATAAGACAAACCTGTGCTGTGCTGGGGTCTGTGCCATTTCCCAGAGCGACTGCCCTGCCTACATTCCCACCAGCAATGAATGATTCCGTTTCTCTGCATTTGATGTTGCCACTATTTTTTAATTAGCCTGATCATTGTGTAGTGTTTTTTTAATTTAAAATTTTTTCAGTTAAAGTTTACATTCAATATTATTATGTACTAGTTTCAGGGGTGCAGCATAGTGGTTAGACAGCCATACTTGCAGAGTGTCCCCCACATTTCCAGTACCCAGCTGGCACGTACACAGGCATTGCAGTACTGCTGACTGTTTCCTAAGCTGCACTTGGCATCCCCGTCACTGTTTGGTCACTGCCATTCTGTGCTTCTCGGCCCCTCACCATCCCCCCAGCCCCTCCCCTCTGCAGCCATCAGTCTGCTCCCGTGTCGGTGAGTTCGTTTCTGTTTTGTTTGTTCATTCACATTGTTCCTTAGATTCCACATATAAGTGAAATCATATGTCGTCTTTCTCTGACTTATTTCATTAGCATAGTACCCTCTAGGTCCATCCATGCTGTTCCAAATGGTAAGATTTTCTTCTTCTTTATGGCCAAAGTCTTCCATTGTATTTATGTACTAGAGCTTTTTTATCCAGTCTTCTGTTGATGGACACTTGGGTGCTTCCAGAGCTTGGCTGTTGTAAATAACGTTGCAATGGACATGTATTATTTCAAATTAGTGTTCGGGTTTCTTCAGATCTATCCCCAGAAGAGGAATGGCTGGGTCATGAGGCAGTTCCATTCTTAATTTTTGAGGCACCTCCACACTGTTTTCCACAGAGGCTGTACCAGTCTGCATTCCCACCAACCGTACACAAGGGGTCCCCTATTCTACATCCTCGCCAACACTTGTTTTTTGATTTATTGATGATAGCTATTCTGACAGGTGTGAGGTAGTATCTCTTTGTGGGGTTTTTTTTTTATCCTCATCCAAGGATATTTTTCTATTTTTTGTACAGATAGAGTGGGAGGGAGAGAGAGGAAGGGAGAGAGAGTGAGAAACATCGACGTGAAGGGACACATCGAGTGGCTGCCACCTGCACGACCAACCAGGGCCGGGGACAAACTGCAACCGAAGTACGTGCCCTTAGTGGGAACCGAACCCGGGTCTCTCCGGACCGCAGGCCGACACTCTAACCGCTGAGCCAAACTGGCCAGGGCTCTCTTTGTGGTTTTAATTTGCATCTCTCTGATGATTAGTGATGTTGAGCATCTTCTCATGTGTCTGTTGGCCATCAGTATGTCTGTTCTCTTTGGAAAAGTGTCCATATAGGTCCTCTGACCTGTATTTAAATTGGATTGTTTGTTTTTGGTGTTGAGTTGTATGAGTTCTTTATACATTTTGGATATTAGCCCCTTATTGAATGAATCATTGACAAAAGCTTCTTCGAATGGGTAGGTTGTCTTGTTTTGTTGATGGTTTTTCATGCTGTGCAAAACCTTTTTAGTTTAATGTATCTCATTTGTTTATTTATTTTTCTTTTGTTTCCCTTGTCCAAGGAGATATACAAAAAAATATTATCAAGAGAGATAGCTGAGATTTTACTGCCTAAATTTAAGTTTAACCTATTTTGAGTTTATTCTTGTATATGGTATAAAAAGTGGTCTCATTTCATTTTGTACAAGTATCTGTCCAATTTTCCCAACACCATTTATTGAATAAACTGTCTTTACCACATTGTATGTTCTTGTCTCCTTTATCAAAAGTCAACTGACCGTATAGGCATGAGTTTATTTCTGGGGCTCTCTATTCTGTTCCATTGATGTATATGTTTGTTGTTTGTTTGTTTTTAGTCCTCACCCGAGGATATTTTTTCATTTATCTTCAGATAGAGTGGGAAGGAGAGAGAGAAAGAAAGTGAAAAAGAGAGAGAGAGAAACATCAATATGAGAGAGACACATTGTTTGGTTGCCTTCTGCATGATCCTGGCCAGTCCGGAGACTGAACCACAATCAAGGCATGTGCCCTTGACCAGAATCAAACCCATGACTCTTGGGTCCACAAGCTGATGCTGTAACTGCTGAGCCAAACCAGCCAGGACATCTGTTTTTTGTTTTGTTTTTTAATATGTATTTTATTGATGTTTTTTAAATATGTATTTTATTGATTTTTTTTTTAGAGAGAGAGAGATAGAAACATAGATGTGAGAGAGAAACATTGATCAGTTGCCTCCTGCATGCCCCCTACAGGGGATTGAGCTGGCACCCAGGCATGTGCCCTGACCAGGAATCCAACTGCACCTCTCATTCCATGAGACACACCGGCTGGACTATAGTCTGTATCATACCAGTACCATGTTGTTTTGATTACTATGGCCTTGTAGTATAGTTTGATATCAGGTAGCATGATACCTCCAACTTTGTTTTCCTTTTTCAAGATTGCTGTGGCTGTTCAGGGTCATTTATGGTTCCATATAAATGTTTGGATTATTTGTTTTAGTTCTGTGAAATATGTCATTGGTATTTTGATTGGAATTACATTGACTCTATAGATTGCTTAGGATCCTATGAACATCTTAACAATGTTAATTCTTCCTGGTGTGTTTAATTTGCATTTTCTTAATGGCTGATGAGATTGAACGTCTCTCGTGCTTCTTTACCATCTGTATATACTCTTCAGTGATGTCTGTTCATGTCTTTTGCCCATTTTCTAATTGGATTGTGTGTTTTTACTGTTGAGTTGTAAGGATTTTTTAAAATATATTTTAGATATGAGTCTACTGTCAAGTATGTAGTTTGCAAATAATAACTTACAGCTTTTTATCCTTTATATTGAACTTTTCAGAGCCAAAGCTTTATTTTAGTGAATTATAATTTATTAGTTTTTCACTTACAGTTCTTGTTTTTGGTGTCAAGTCTAAGAACTTTTTGCCTAATGCCAGAGCCTGAATATTTTCTCCTATGCTTTTATTTTCATCTTGGTTTTTTTTTTTAAGTTTTTTTTTCCCATTTTTGAGCAGTATTTCTTTCTTTCTTTTTTAATCTATCTTTATGTTGAAAGTATAGCATAAGTCCCCCTTTTTTCCTCATTGACGCCCTCCTCCCACCCCATCTTCCTTCTCACACTATTGTCTGTGTCCATGGGCTATGTGTATATGCATGTAAGTTCTTGGGTTGATCTCTTTCCAGCCCCCCCCATACTCCCCTCCCTCTGCGGTTCGACACTCTGTTCCCTGCTTCCATGTCTCTGGATCTGTTTTGCTCATCAATTAATTTTGTTAGTGAGATTCCACAAATAAATGAGATCACGAGATACTTGTATTTCTCTGACTGTCTTATTTCAACTTAGCATAATACTCCCCAGGTCCCTCCATGCTGTCTCAAAGGGTAAGAGATCCTTCTTTTTTATAGCTGCATAGTGTTCCATCATATAAATGTACCAGCTTTTTAAAAAACATTTCCTAGTTTAAAACTTCACATTTTAGTTTGTGATCAATTTCAAGTTAATTTTTGTGTCAGATGTGAGGTGTAGGTCGGTGTTTTTTTTTTTTACCTATGAACGTCCAGTTTTTCCAGCACTTGTTGAAGATGCCACTTTTATGCTATTGAAATACTTCTGAATCTTTGTTAAAAATCAGTTGGGCATATTCTCATGGGTTTATTTATGGATTCTCCACTTTATTCCGTTGATCTACGTGACTGTCCTCCTACCAGTACCATGCTCTCTTAGTTATTGCAGCTGTACAGCAAGCTTATTACTGGGGAGAGTGGCCCCACCCGCCTAGTTCTTCTTCTTCAAGAAAGAATTAATCTACTTGTTAAGCTATTTGCTCAAGCCATTTTAGAGCCTGTGTCTTGTGTCTTTTCATGTAAGTTTTAGAATTAGCTTGTCTTTCTACAAAAAAAACCTTCTGAGATTTTGATAGGATTGCCAAATCTATCATGTGAGGAGATCATGTGAGGAGAAATGACATCTTAGCATGTCGAGTGTCCCCTCCAGGGGCACAGTGTGTCCCTTCCTTCCTACGGGTCTTCTTTGGTTTCTTTTATTATCCTTTTGGAAGTTCCAGTATACAGCTCTTGTGTGTGTGTTATTAAGTATTTCATTTTCCTTTGAGCAGTTGTAAATGGTATTGATTTTTATTTCAGCTTATGTTCATTGTTAGACTTAGAATGCAATTGATTTTTAGTGTTGATCATGTGTCTATCCTGTGACCTTGCTGAAGTCACTTATTAGTCCTAGGAGTTTGGGGTGTGTGTGTGTGTGTGTGTGGTAGATTCCTTAGAATTTTCTACATGTCATTTGCAAATAGAGACAGTTTTCTTTCTTTCCAATCTATGTGTCTGTAATATTTTTGGTATGTGAAATTAATATACCAGATACATTGGTCCCCAGGGGACACCTGGGACAGAGACACACGTCAGTGGCTCCTTTCATATTTGCTTCCTAAGACAGTGTGTCTCTTACTCACACCAGAATTCTGTAAACTGTTTGCTGCACAGTCCCTCAGCTTTGAGAGTCATCTTTCAATGTTTTTAGGTAAACCATGTTTTCGCTCTGGAAGAAGGTAATGTACATCATTCTCTGTTCATACGTACTTGTTTGATTCATTTTGAAGGTAACCACGTCCCTCCTTTTCATTTCAATAGATGTTATACATCCAGGCCTTACCGGGACCTTTCCTTTCGATGGACCCGTCGTCGTTCGTGGATGTTTACGGGTACATCGCGACCCCGCGCATCTGGAGACAGAGGTCGTCGTTAGTGTGGCGCCTGGGCCCCTCCTACCTCTTGGAGGAAGCCATGTCAGTGGAAGCTCTGGACGTTATCAACAAGCTTGGCCCAAGATACTGCGGTAACTTCCAAGCTGTGCCTGCCCAAGGTGCGGAGTGTTTGGTTCATACTGGTCTCGCTGCTTTTATTGTAAAACTAGACATTTAGCATATCTATGAAGAATAAGCAGCCCGGGCCCGTCATCGGGAAGACCTCTGTGATTGGATCCTGTATATTTACAACACAACAGAAAATGTCACAAAAAGGGAAATATAATCCCCTTCGTGTTTCAGACGAGAACGCGATGAATAAGATGCGTTCCTTTAATGAAGGAGCTTTTTAACTAAAGTATACTGTTGATGTCAATTATTAAACAGGCAGACAGAACTTCCACATTCTCACATCGATCGCTGGCTGCTCAAAGGGGGAGCGTTGCTCTGCTCCGTCGGGTGAGGGGTCAGCTCCCATCTGGGAAGAGCGATGAATGAACCGAGCGCGGAGTCTTGTGTGGGGGGCAGAGCCATGGGAGCTGTTGATGCGTCTGTCTCTGGCCCCCTGTCTCCTTCCAACGCCATTTCCTCTGGCAAACGAAGGAAATGAACGGCAGGTCGGGTCCAGAGCCGAAGGTCCACCACTCTCCGTCCTCACCGTGCTTCTCAGGCCGCTCAGGTGGCTCCCCGTGACTCGGGGACCGGGGTGCTAATTCCAGCGTGATGCTGTCCGTGGGCACGCGGCTCAGTGACATCTCAGAGCTTTTGGCCTTTTCCTTTCTCTGCAAGTGGACTTTCTTCCCACTGCCTGTTTGGTTTGGGGAGCGAGGCTGCGCCCCTGGCGTTCGAGCTCAGCCACTTTGTACCCAGGTGCCTCTCTGTTACAGTAGGGGCAGCACTGCGAGGCCTCTGCTCTGCTTCTTATGTGTCAGAGAAGCACAGGGAGGGGCAAAACAGGAGACACAGGAACACACGACATACAACATACAAAGTAACATGTAACAACATACCACAAACAATGGAAAACAGATGAAATATGAGCATTCTTTTGATCGTTACTCATTGTGTAGCAGTAGATATTTACTCTCTGAAGATTGATTTTCTTCCCTGTGCAAGAAAACTAGAAATGACTGAAGATGTGTTACTGTAGGAGCAGAGCCTGGGACAGAGCCGGTGGCCCTGGTTGCAGAGGAAAGGGTCTCCTTTGGCCTTCACGTAGCCAGCTCCTCCACCACCAGTATTGTGGACATCAGAAGCACGTACAACGAAGTGGACAGCCGCCTGGTGGCCAAAGAGGTATACCTTCTGATCTCACATGCTGGCCCCTTTCGGGACCGGATCTCATGGCTGGCTCAGCGTCCAGTGACCCGGTGTAGGCTAACTCACGTTTGCGCGTGTGGATGGATGCAGTAGTGCGTCCCACTTGGTTTGTTAAAATATGCTATGACTCTCCACCCCGGCACCCCTGAGACTAAACCCTTTATTTGTAATTATGCAGAGAAGAAAGTAGATGCTCTCCCTTCTTCACGGGAGAGCAAGCACACACAGAATGTTTAAAAACCTTGTGACACTGAGAAAATCATGGAGCTTCCTTTCTGGGGTGCTACCAACCCCCCCACCGCACACTGCAGAGTGTTCTGGGATTTGCTCAGTTTGTTTAAACAAGGGACTTGCAAAGTCAGATCATGCTTGTGGTGGAGATGCTCCTGGACTCCCTGCTTCCTAATTCCAGGGAAGGAACTCTCTTACTGACGCTGAGGGGTTTACATTCTCTCCACCTTCACAGACTGAAGCAGAGGGATTAAGGGCTAAGTCCTGCTGAGCTCCCCGGAAGTGCCTTGCTGGCGGGCAGAGTTCCTTCTGATGGAGGGGGCAGGGTTCCCATTTCCCTGGCCTCTGGAGGCAGTGAGGCCGGAGCTCCCAGAGCCTGCACAACCCTCCCCTGGAATGGGGGGACGCTGGCCCTTGTGGCACGTGCCTCCTTCAGGGGTCCTAGGATCCCACTGCTTGGCACCATGAGCTTAGGGACATCAGTGGCACATTGTATAACCAAAGCGACTCCTTTGATGAAGCATAGCTCAGGAGGCAAGACACGAGCACCTGAATTCTGGTTTCAGTCCTGAGACTGTGCAGTTCTCACCCACTTAGTGGGGAGCCTGCCCTGAAGGGGCTTATGGGCAAGACCTCTCTAGGAACGACCTCAGGTCTGATTGTTGCCAATTTCTCTAGATGAACATTTCCTCCCGCGACAATGCCACGCCTGTGTTCTTGCTGAGAAATTGCGCCAGCCACCTCTCGGGCCCCCTCCGCACCATTGGAGCCGTGGCTGTTGGCCAATTGGGTACGTCAGGTCGTGCACTTTCACCGCTACGTGGGAGGAGGATTGTGGATGTTGTCACGCGTGCAGCCTACCATTCCGAGTGGCAGTCAGGATAGAGCTGGTGGGGAGCTTGGAGGGGGCCAGGGTGGTGCAGGCAGATGTTGGCGCGTTAGCCCAGCCAGAGAGCTGGCCCCACACTGAGTGAGGTCAGCCCACCTCACGGCCTGGGCAGCTGTGGCACTCAGCTGCTAACCAGGCTGGCATCAGTGCCCGTACAGTGAGCACCGTGGGCCTTTGTGCCAGCAACTAACTGCCAAAGCAGCAAATTGGCGCAAGTACCCAACCCCACAGGATGTAGGGGCAGAGGTCAGAGAGTCAACTGATGGTCAGATGGCACTGAAGCCACGCTGGCTGGGGCTGGAGGGCGGCGAGCTGAACCCCTGGGGTGAGGACACAGAAAGGACTCAGCAGAGATTCTCCCAGTGACTTCAGACTGTCAGAACCCCTGCCCTTCCGCCCAGCCTGTCCCATGCGCATAGGCTCCTCTGTCACGAGTGGGTGGAGAGCGGCTTGGACAGTGCATTTACCCCCCACGCGGCTGGGGACCTTCCTCTCCACGACGCCATGACGGTTGATGGAACCCCCTCTGCCCACACAGGGGTCAGGGTGTTCCACTCCAGTCCTGCTGCCAGCAGCCTGGACGTCATCGGCGGGCCGGCCATCCTCCTGGGCCTCATTTCCTTAGCGACAGATGACCACACCATGTACGCGGCTGTGAAGGTCCTGCACTTGGTCCTGACCAGCAGTGCCGGGAGCGGCCACCTGATGCAGCACATCTCCGGGTATCAGGTAACAGCCCCCCCACCTGGGCCACGGCTCCCCGAGGAGCAGGGAGAGCTTCTCTGGCCCCAGTGGGCATTTGCTCCGCAGTGACCTCTGGAGACAGGAAGCCTGAGCCCTGGGGTCCAGAGACGCTGGAGAGACCGGCCCAGAGCAGAGCGCCGGGGACAGCCAGCCAGGGAGGGACTCTGAGCGGGCTGCACACCTGTGCGTGGCCACCAGCTCCTTGCTCTGGTGAACTCAGGAACCACGTGTGGTCCTCCACCGTGTCTAGCGTGAGGGCTGGGAGGCCATGGAGCCAGAGTGCTGGGCTTGAATCCTGCTGCTTCCTCTAACTTGCCATTGAATGTTGGACGCCTTCCTCACCTCTCAGTGTCCCCACCAATATGACGGACTTTCCTGCTTCTTGTGTGTGGGGAAGACTCACTGTAACACGGGTGGAGGGCCCAGAACGATGTCTGGCCCAGAATGCACGCTCTGTAAATGCTGGCTGTCTTGAGTGCCTGACCTCTGCCCTTCAGATCTCCCACGTGGGAAATGGAAAGCGAGTGAGTACGCGCTGAGCGCGTAGAGAAGCACGTGCTCGGAGCACCTGCTGCGTGTGCACTGGGACTCCTCGCCGCCCCCTCTGCGCGAAGTTCACCGAGACGGGTCGCAGCCCGCAGCCCCTCCCGCGTGGCCGGGAGCAGCACGAGAGGGGCACGGGCAGGCCTCGGGTGGGGTCTGCACGAGGTCAGGCACAAGGGCTGTGGAGCTTCCTCCTGGTGCAGGGGTGCGAGAGAGGCACGCACACGGGCCACAGTTCTGCATCGCAGGCCTGACGCTGCCTCTCCCCTGTGTGGACCCTTCAGGGGCGTCTAACCACTGGTGCCGTATTCCAGGCTCCTGGGATTACTTTCTAAAGGCCTGTCAAAGTGGCTGCCAACTGGTCCTTCAGCCCCACCTCCCCCGCTGCCGCCAGCATTTCCCACCCTGCACTGCCACTTCCCCGATCCCGCAGTCACATGGTGTGACGTGGGCCCTGGGCTTGTGTTGCCATCTCCCTGCTTCCCCGGGTACCTTCCTCGTTTCCCAGGTCAGGCCCCCAGCCCTGAGCCAAGGGCGTGGCCGCCCGGCCTCCGTGCACCGTGCCTGGCCCAGTGCTAGCGGCTCACAGCTGCAGGGAGCACCTGCCCTCCACTCGACCGTCACTGTCTGAAGGCCCAGGCGCTGCTCACCTGTGGCCAGTGTGTTACTGAGACCAGACGCTCAGGAAATATGTTAGTAATAAGTGAATGGGTATGTCTGGGTTTATATGAAACCTCAAGAATTGGGGCTTTTGGTATATATGAGTTTTTTATTTTGTTTTATATTGTTAAATCAACAGTAGTGGGATTTGTACCAGTTTAGCATTTAGAAATCCGCTGTGGCCAGGGATTTTAATAATCACTGCGAGCATTTCCAAAAAGGTACAAAGCGGTTTCTCCTCTCATGGGTATGTCGAGAAAGATGAAATAAGACACAGACCAAGATGGTTCTAGTATAAGCTGAAAGCAGCCAGTGTCCGAGAGTTTTCCAGGACCAGCGCAGCCCGCGACTCAGTGGGCACCAGCCGTCTTCCCAGGGACTCTGAGCTCCGCAGAGCCAGGACCCTCCTGTGCGCCCCAGTGTCCCTCACTGCAGCGTGGGACCTGCCGTGTCAGAGTCCTAACAAGGCTGGCCACCTGCACACGGGGCCTTGAGAGAGACAGCGTGCTAGCGATGCCACGTGGGGAGGGGCCGGAGAGCGGCCTGAAAGAGAGACTGGGAGGAGGGCCGAGGAGGGGCTGGCGCGTTGTCAGGAGACGGCAGGAGTGGCCCGTGGGTCTCTGCTCAGCTCGCAGACTGCGCGCTGCCCCTGAGACGGGACTGTGCCGGGCACGGGGATGTGGACTTGCCTGTCCTATCTGTTCAGGCTGCTCTCCCAAAACCCCGCGGCTGGTGGGTGATAGCAGCGAAGTGTCTCTGTTCTGGCGGCTGCACGTCCAAGACGGAGGTGCTGGCAGGTTCAGCACCTGCTGAGAGCCCGCTTCCTAGACAGCGCCCTTCCGTGTGTCCTCGCAGGGTGCAGGGGCAGCCTCGGGGCTCCTGCGAGGACGCTGACCTCTAGAGGCTCCGCCCTCGTGACCTCGTCACCCCCAAACGCCCCACCTCCTGACACCCTCACACTGGGGATTCGGTTCCAGCATATGAATTTATGGGGGAATAAACATTCAATTTACAGCACTAACAGGACAGACAGAAAAACATTATCACGAGACAGACTCGAACCCTGCGTTTGAGGAAAGAGCCGATGAGATTCGGGGATGTAGTATACCTTTACACATAGTGGTAGGAGGAAATCTATAATTCTTCTTATGGCTTAAAAAAGAAACATTTCAAATATGTATGTCTTCATGGAAAGTCAGGAGAGGCTGGGCCGTAGCAAGGGACGAAAATGCCGGGTAAAGAAACAAGATGCTTATTGTTGTTTGCCTTCCCTGCCTCTTTATAAAGAGGCCCCCATCCCACCACCTTGCTTTTCAGACACGTTTTCTTTTCTTCACAACCTTCTGCCCAGTTGGCATGATCTGCATACACCTGTGGCTGTGCTGCACCCTAGACACAGGCTCCATGGGGGCAGCACAGTCTGCGGGCTCCCGTGTCCCGGAGAGCACGCGGCGGACAGTGCGGGCTCCCGTGTCCCGGGCTCCCGTGTCCCGGAGAGCACGCGGTGGACAGTGGGGCTCCCGTGTCCCGGAGAGCACGCGGCGGACAGTGGGGGCTCCCGTGTCCCGGAGAGCACGCGGCGGACAGTGGGGGCTCCCGTGTCCCGGAGAGCACGCGGCGGACAGTGCGGGCTCCCGTGTCCCGGAGAGCACGCGGCGGACAGTGGGGGCTCCTGTGTCCCGGAGAGCACGCGGCGGACAGTGGGGCTCCCGTGTCCCGGGGAGCACGTGGTGGACAGTGGGGGCTCCCGTGTCCCGGGGAGCACGCGGCGGACAGTGGGGGCTCCCGTGTCCCGGGGAGCACGTGGCGGACAGTGGGGGCTCCCGTGTCCGGGAGAGCACGCGGCGGACAGTGGGGCTCCTCCCGTGTCCCGTAGAGCACGCGGCGGACAGTGCGGGCTCCCGTGTCCCGGGGAGCACGTGGTGGACAGTGGGGGCTCCCGTGTCCGGAGAGCACGCGGCGGACAGTGGGGCTCCCGTGTCCCGGGGAGCACGTGGTGGACAGTGGGGGCTCCCGTGTCCCGGGGAGCACGCGGCGGACAGTGGGGGCTCCCGTGTCCCGGGGAGCACGCGGCGGACAGTGGGGGCTCCCGTGTCCCGGGGAGCACGTGGCGGACAGTGGGGGCTCCCGTGTCCTGGAGAGCACGCGGCGGACAGTGGGGCTCCCGTGTCCCGGAGAGCACGCGGCGGACAGTGCGGGCTCCCGTGTCCCGGGGAGCACGTGGTGGACAGTGGGGGCTCCCGTGTCCCGGGGAGCACGCGGCGGACAGTGGGGGCTCCCGTGTCCCGGAGAGCACGCGGCGGACAGTGCGGGCTCATGTGTCCCGGAGAGCACGCGGCGGACAGTGGGGGCTCCCGTGTCCTGGAGAGCACGCGGCGGGCAGTGCGGGCTCCCGTGTCCCGGGGAGCACGTGGTGGACAGTGGGGCTCATGTGTCCCAGAGAGCACGCGGCGGACAGTGGGGCTCCCGTGTCCTGAAGAGCACGTGGTAGAGAGTGTGGGCTCCCGTGTCCCAAAGGGCATGCGGTAGACAGTAGGATTCAGCAGAGCTTTGTGGAGTTAGTCAGAGCATCGTAAAGAGGGTTCTCAGTTAACCAGCTTGCTCAGGAGTAGATGTCACAATGGCTTAGACTTTTCCTCTGCATCCATTCGCTGAGCTGGTGACTGGACGTGAGAGCACACGAGAGCACAAATCCTTCTGTTTGCTGTTTCTGTCAAACGTCCTTATTGCCTTCTTCTTGGACTAGGTGACATCAAAGCTTCAGGACGTGGGTTTCATGGCACGGTGAAGAAGGAAGGAAGTGTTCTAGACTGATGTTACAATGCCGGGTTCCTCCTCATGGCTGTGAGGAGGGGCAGGTGTGGGCACGGCTCAGCCGCCTGGGGGCAGAGGGGGAAGGACCGGAAATCTGCCGCGCCAGGGCGCGTGGGTTTTTATCTTGGAGATGACGAGGAATCACAGGAAGGCTTGGAGCAGGGAACTGGAATGGTTACTGGTTAGAATGACCTTTGACACCAGTGTGGATGATGGGTGAGACTTGAGCAGGAGACCGAGATAGGAGCCCCATGCCCTTCGACTGCATTCCCGACCCGGAGAGACTTGGGGTCCTTGTGAGCGACTTGGGAAGACAGCACGGGAACGCAGCAGGTGGGGGCCGGGGTGCAGCCCACAGGAAGAAGGCAGGTGTTGGGACCTCCTGTTTGAAATGTCACTGAGACATTGGAAGTAAAATGTCACGTCGGGAAGGTGGCTGGAGCTCAGAGGGGCAAGCTGGGCTGGAGGTACAAGTGTGAGAGCCACCAGCGTCATCATGAGGACATGTAATCCGAGAACAGGGATGGGTTAGTCACAGAGGAGGAGAGGACTGGAGATGAGGAGACCAGGAGCTAACCGTGTACAGGTTGGAAATGTGATCAAACCCAACAAAGGAGTTGGAGAAGAAAATCTCCATCAAAGGGAGGAGAGACTGAAGGAAATGTTGCTGAAGAATCTGAAAGAAGAGAGTATTTTGAGAAGGCCAGTGTGGTCAAATAATGCTCAGAATGGAGCAAACTAGGGACGAAGCTATTTCCCTTGGATTTGGCACCTGGAGTCATTGGCGACCTTTCTAAGGCAGGTGGACAGGTGGAGTCAGCAACCAGCGGGAGGGCTTGCAGAGGGGATGTCAGGCGGGGGCGCGGAGCGAGCAGGAGGCCACGGCTTTAAGTCAGCCTGGGAAGAGGAGCGGCAAAACGGGGTCAGAGCTAGGGGCGTTGGGGTTAAGGGGGGAGTATTTTTTTTAAGTTTTTTTTTTTCTTATTGATTTTAGAGAGAGAAGAAGGGAGAGGGAGAGATAGAAACATGGATGAGAGAGAACATCAATTGGCCACTTTCTGCATGCCCCCCCACTGGGGATCAGGCCCACAACCTGGGCGTGTGCCCTGACCAGGAATCGAACCGGCGACCTCTTGGTGCAGGGGTTGACGCTCAACCACGGAGCCACACCAGCTGGTCAAGGGAGGGGTATTTTTAAGAAGAGAAATACTAAAGCATAATTGCTGGTGGAAAGAAGTGATGGAGGGAGGGAGGGAGTAGGGGAGAGAGAGAGAGATGGAAGACTCGAGGGGTTATCCCAGGACACAGTGTCCGTGAGGTGAGGAGTGGCCTGGAGGCCAGGTAGGAGACCTTGCTTGTGAGGAAGGAATGCAGGCATTTTCTGATATGATGTTGGGCAGGTGAGAATGTTCCTGTCAGATGCCGTCTGTCTTCTCAGCAGAGTATGAGGAGGGGTGCTCAAAGGGAATGAAAGTTGGGGGAAGGAAGAACAAGAGATGAAATCATTGTCTTTGGGACAAGGAAACCAGCTTGCTAGAGAAACAGTACCAGCTGGACCTTCGACACTGATGCTGTAAAGTGAACCAGCCGGCCTGAGGGTGATTTTTCTGAAGCATCCTTCAGCCGTCCTGGTTCTGTGCTGGTGGGGAGAAGGGAGGCGTCAGACTTCAGGCGTGTCAGAGAGTCAGCCAGAGCAGTCTGAAATGACGCTGCGTGCTTGGCGATCACAGCCGTCCTCGTTCTGTGCTGGTGGGGAGAAGGGAGGCGTCAGACTTCAGACGTGTCAGAGAGTCAGCCAGAGCAGTCTGAAATGACGCTGCGTGCTTGGCGATCACAGCCGTCCTCGTTCTGTGCTGGTGGGGAGAAGGGAGGCGTCAGACTTCAGACGTGTCAGAGAGTCAGCCAGAGCAGTCTGAAATGACGCTGCGTGCTTGGCGATCACAGCCGTCCTGGTTCTGTGCTGGTGGGGAGAAGGGAGGCGTCAGACTTCAGACGTGTCAGAGAGTCAGCCGGAGCAGTCTGAAATGACGCTGCGTGCTTGCGATCACAGCCATCCTCGTTCTGTGCTGGTGGGGAGAAGGGAGGCGTCAGACTTCAGACGTGTCAGAGAGTCAGCCAGAGCAGTCTGAAATGACGCTGCGTGCTTGGCGATCACAGCCATCCTCGTTCTGTGCTGGTGGGGAGAAGGGAGGCGTCAGACTTCAGACGTGTCAGAGAGTCAGCCGGAACAGTCTGAAATGACGCTGCGTGCTTGGCGATCACAGCCGTCCTCGTTCTGTGCTGGTGGGGAGAAGGGAGGCGTCAGACTTCAGACGTGTCAGAGAGTCAGCCGGAGCAGTCTGAAATGACGCTGCATGCTTGGCGATCACAGCCGTCCTCGTTCTGTGCTGGTGGGGAGAAGGGAGGCGTCAGACTTCAGACGTGTCAGAGAGTCAGCCGGAACAGTCTGAAATGACGCTGCGTGCTTGGCGATCACAGCCGTCCTCGTTCTGTGCTGGTGGGGAGAAGGGAGGCGTCAGACTTCAGACGTGTCAGAGAGTCAGCCGGAACAGTCTGAAATGACGCTGCGTGCTTGGCGATCACAGCCGTCCTGGTTCTGTGCTGGTGGGGAGAAGGGAGGCGTCAGACTTCAGACGTGTCAGAGAGTCAGCCGGAACAGTCTGAAATGACGCTGCGTGCTTGCGATCACAGCCGTCCTCGTTCGGGCTGTTGGAGCAGAACACCATGGGCTGGGTAGCTTATAAACCACCGAGGTGACTTTTCTGATAGTTCTGGGGGCTGGGCGGTCAACAATCGGGGTGCCTGCATTGGGTGAGGGCTGATTTCTGGTTGGACCCTCACATGGCAGAGAGCGGAGAGGAAGCAAGGTCTTTTGTGCCACCTGTGAGGACAGTGATTCCATTTATGAGGACCCTGTTCTCCTCAGCTGATCCGAAGCACATCACAAAGGACCCACCTCTAACTTAGGACAAGGAAATATCACCACTTTGTGAGGCAAAGGTTTTAACACTCAGAGTTTGGAGGGCGCAGACATTCAGCCCACAACAAGTGGGACTTCCCAACGGCACATTGAAAGGGTGTGTCTGAGAGGACAGGGCAAGGGGCGGACTGTGTCGGTCAGCCGTAGGAACAGAGCTATGGAAAGGTTGAGCTGAGAACCCCCATGAGATGGATGAGAACCCAGATGCCAGTGGTTGGCTGCACATCCTGCCTTTTGTGGGGCTGAGGTCGACGGCTCCGTGAGGCCAGGAGGGATCCACTCATTGGTGTCTGAGAGGGTCTGGGCCACTGGAATCCCATGCGTCCCTCCTGGTTTGGGTGCCTGAATGTTGCTGGTTTTCCAGGGTCTGGTAACAGTCCAGTGACATGTCTGGTGGCTACAGCCTGGGGTGACATTGGGGTAACTGGGTCCGTGGGGAGTGGGTGCCCTCCTGGTGCTGTGGCAGCATGTATGCCATGGCTCTGAAAGTAGGGTCCAGAACAGCAAATGAGAAAGGCGCTGGGCATGGGAGGGAAGCAGGAGACAGTGCAGCTTCTGGAGATGCAGAGGCAGAGACTCAGGAAGGAGCAGGGGTCCCTGTGGAGAGGCCAAGCCAAGGGCAGGAAGATGGGCAGTGGTGGGGAGCGGTGCAGAGGCCGCTGCATGTGTTTCTTTGGGGAGCACAGGGAATGGGAGGCAGCACTGGAGAGCAGAGGGTTCCAGCCCAGGCTGAGCAGAGGTGCTGGGCCGGCAGGTGAAGGAGAGTCCTCGGCACGTGTAGGGCAAGCTGCCGCTGTGCTCACCTTTGCAGGTGCTGGCGCTTCTCCTGCGGAGAAAGACCTCTCTGCTCAACCATCGCGTCTTCCAGCTGATCCTCTCCATCGCGGGCACTGCCGAGCTGGGCTTCGGGTCATCCGCTGTTACTAACGTGGGAGTCTTTCAGCACATCCTCTGCAACTTTGAGGTAAAGTGGAGATGGGGTTTGAACCCTAAGGGGGTGTGTGCCGGTAAAAGAACTCTGGAGCTGCCTCTCAGTGGCCATGACTGGGAGAGAGGACCTCAACAGCATGGAGCACAGAGGTCCTGCTTTCTCGTGAGATCCTGCCGCCAGTGGGCCTGGGCAAGTCCCCTCCCTCTCTGAGCTGCAGTTCTCGCTAGTGTGAAATAGAGACCACTCTCTTCCTTAACAGGCTGGCGTGTGTCAAAGCAGACAGGATCTGGGCACGGATTTTAAAACCATAGGGCACTATAGGTGGATGTGAGGGTTTAAAAGACACATGCCAGTTCCTGGTGCCCGCTGCCACCGTGCTCCCTGAGAGCAGTGGGAGAGGTGCTGCGGGCAGGCCTGGGGCCCAAAACTGGGTGAAGCATCATTCACAGGGTGCACACTGGGTCAGATGGAGGTCTCCTGGAGTCATGGCGATACCCAGGGCACAGCCCTTCCACACAGCCACCAGGGCCTGGACGCCAGGACGGTGACACTGCAGTGGGCTGGTGTAACTCTGCTGGTATAACTGTGTGCTGGTGTGCCGGTGCAACAGTATGCTGGTGTGCCAGTGTGCGGGTATGCCGTGTGACGGTGTGCCAGTGTGCCGGTGTGCCGTGTGCTGGTGTGACAGTGTCCTGCTGTGACAGTGTCTTGCTGTGACAGTGTGCTAGTGTCATGGTGTGCCGGAGTGCCGGTGTGACGTGTCCTGCTGTGACAGTGTGCTAGTGTACCGGTGTGCTGCTGTGCTGGTGTAACTATGTGCTGGTGTGATGATGTGCCAGTGTGCCGGTGTGATGGTGTGATGGTGTAACTATGTGCTGGAGTGATGGTGTGCCAGTGTGCTGGTGTAACTGTGATGGTGTGCCAGTGTGATGGTGTGACAGTGCGCTGGTGTGCCGGTGTGACGGTGTGACGGTGTGATGGTGGCAGCACAGGGCATCTGGGGACTGGGAATGAGAACTGTCTGCTCAGCTCAGCTTTAGAGACTGGGAACTGTGGGGCGGAGTCTGGCAGAGCGCCTCCAGGGGGCACACACCAGGTAGAGTGTATGCTGTGTGCACACATGTGAGGATGAAAGCAACCACAGGGACTGAGAGCACCTGGCTAGGGAGGCACCTGGCTAGGGGAGCACCTTGGGGTGGGGGCATTGTTGCAAATAGAGATGAGGCTGGAGGGGGAGGGAGAGAAGACAGGCTGAAGATGCTAAGATGCAGGACATGAGCGTTAGTCAATATATGCTAGAGTCCATGGAAGTATTTTAAAATCTTTTTTAAAGTTAAAATTAATATATGCATATTACAGAATGCTTTAAGTTAGAGAAAAGTCGTGGGGTGGGAAATATCTATTTGAAGACCCAGACAACCTTGACTGCATCCCATTCTTTTTTAAAACTTTCTATGAATACTGTTATATTTTTTTATCGTAATCACAATCTTAGTGTAGATATTATTAGTCCTACCCTTTCCTACATAAAATCAACACTTTAAAAATTGTATTATGAATTTATAAGCATTGCTCAGGATATAATCTGTGCTGTGCCTGGGTTCGTCATCGCTCTCCTCCTGCAGCTGCTTAGACTGTTTCTGTAAGTTGTTGCTATGAATGAGTGCTGTTACACACAGTACTTTTGTGCACACTTTGCCCCACTTAAAAATTCTTTAGAGTTATTACAATAAAGGCTTTACAAATCAATTTTATATTGTCGATAAATGTTGCTGCTCCTGATACTTAGGGATGTTACCCAGAGAATGACATATTAGAATTTCAGTTTAGGTCCATTACTAAGGTTGCAGGACCCCTGCAGGGCCTGGGGCAGAGAGGGCTGCAGAAGTCCCGGCGGTGGCAGGACCCCTGCAGGGCTGGGCAGAGAGGGCTGCAGAAGTCCCGGCGGTGGCAGGACCCCTGCAGGGCTGGGCAGAGAGGGCTGCAGAAGTCCCGGCGGTGGCAGGACCCCGGCAGGAGCTGGGCAGAGAGGGCTGCAGAAGTCCCGGCGGTGGCAGGACCCCGGCAGGGCTGGGCAGAGAGGGCTGCAGAAGTCCCGGCGGTGGCAGGACCCCTGCAGGGCTGGGCAGAGAGGGCTGCAGAAGTCCCGGCGGTGGCAGGACCCCGGCAGGGCTGGGCAGAGAGGGCTGCAGAAGTCCCGGCGGTGGCAGGACCCCTGCAGGGCTGGGCAGAGAGGGCTGCAGAAGTCCCGGTGGTGGCAGGACCCCGGCAGGGCTGGGCAGAGAGGGCTGCAGAAGTCCCGGTGGTGGCAGGACCCCTGCAGGGCTGGGCAGAGAGGGCTGCAGAAGTCCCGGTGGTGGCAGGACCCCTGCAGGGCTGGGCAGAGAGGGCTGCAGAAGTCCCGGTGGTGGCAGGACCCCGGCAGGGCTGGGCAGAGAGGGCTGCAGAAGTCCCGGCGGTGGCAGGACCCCTGCAGGGCTGGGCAGAGAGGGCTGCAGAATTCCAGGCGGTGGGCAGGACCCCGGCAGGGCTGGGCAGAGAGGGCTGCAGAAGTCCCAGGCGGTGGCAGGACCCCTGCAGGGCTGGGCAGAGAGGGCTGCAGAAGTCCCGGTGGTGCAGGACCCCGGCAGGGCTGGGCAGAGATGGGCTGCAGAAGTCCCGGCGGTGGCAGGACCCCTGCAGGGCTGGGCAGAGAGGGCTGCAGAAGTCCCGGTGGTGGCAGGACCCCGGCAGGGCTGGGCAGAGAGGGCTGCAGAAGTCCCGGCGGTGGCAGGACCCCTGCAGGGCTGGGCAGAGAGGGCTGCAGAAGTCCCGGTGGTGGCAGGACCCCTGCAGGGCTGGGCAGAGAGGGCTGCAGAAGTCCCGGTGGTGGCAGGACCCCTGCAGGGCTGGGCAGAGAGGGCTGCAGAAGTCCCGGCGGTGGCAGGACCCCTGCAGGGCTGGGCAGAGAGGGCTGCAGAAGTCCCGGTGGTGGCAGGACCCCGGCAGGGCTGGGCAGAGAGGGCTGCAGAAGTCCCGGCGGTGGCAGGACCCCGGCAGGGCTGGGCAGAGAGGGCTGCAGAAGTCCCGGCGGTGGCAGGACCCCGGCAGGGCTGGGCAGAGAGGGCTGCAGAAGTCCCGGCGGTGGCAGGACCCCTGCAGGGCTGGGCAGAGAGGGCTGCAGAAGTCCCGGCGGTGGCAGGACCCCTGCAGGGCTGGGCAGAGAGGGCTGCAGAAGTCCCGGTGGTGGCAGGACCCCGGCAGGGCTGGGCAGAGAGGGCTGCAGAAGTCCCGGCGGTGGCAGGACCCCTGCAGGGCTGGGCAGAGAGGGCTGCAGAAGTCCCGGTGGTGGCAGGACCCCTGCAGGGCTGGGCAGAGAGGGCTGCAGAAGTCCCGGTGGTGGCAGGACCCCGGCAGGGCTGGGCAGAGAGGGCTGCAGAAGTCCCGGTGGTGGCAGGACCCCGGCAGGGCTGGGCAGAGAGGGCTGCAGAAGTCCCGGTGGTGGCAGGACCCCGGCAGGGCTGGGCAGAGAGGGCTGCAGAAGTCCCGGCGGTGGCAGGACCCCGGCAGGGCTGGCCAGAGAGGGCTGCAGAAGTCCAGGCGGGAGGTTTGGAAACCTGAACTGCCACCGGGCAGTATGGTCAAGAGGGTTGATGGGGATCAGGGTTCCAGTCAGAAATGACGCAGACCCGAGTGACAGGGAACACCCTGTACATCAAGTATACGAGAGGTGGCTGAACGCTGGACACAGGGAAATTTACAGTCCTCAATGTGCCCATCAGGAAAGAGAACATTTAAAGTGATTGAATAGAGGCTTCCAATCAGGAAGTTAGAAAGGTCAACAAAACAAAACAAAAAGGAAAACACAAAAACCCCAAACGGCAATTAAATAAAAACCAAATTCCACGAAAGAAGGAAGGAATCATAAAGATGAGACCATCAATTATTTAAATAGGAGAGAAGCAGACAGAAAGGATCAGCAGGGCTGATACCTGGTGCTCGCGGAGCAAACTGCAGAGACTGGTCAGGATAGAGGCAGGACGCACACTAAGTGACCCGCAAGGCGAAGGGAGAGGTGCCCGGGAAGGAACCCCCTGAAGGGAGGAAGGACGTAGGACCCGCACCTTTGCACCAATAATGTGAACACTTAGCTCATCTGACTAATCTCCCAGAAATATACGTTTCCCAGACTTACTCAGAAGGAAAGAAAAAACTCAGTTGTCCCATAACCATCCAATAAATGGAATCCCAGTTTTGGACTCTTACAAACGACATCCGCAAGGCTCGAACCCGGGCCTGGGTGTGGGTAAAGAAGCTCCCCAGGAAATAGGCCCCCTAGCCTTGAACCTCTTCCAGCTTCCTGGAGAAGGAACACGCCCAGATGATATGAGCTAATCCTGATCCCTGAACCAAAACAAAGACAGTATGGGAAATGAGAAAGTGAAGGCTGCTCATATTTATTAGTACAGCTCCCCAAACCCTAAATGAATTGTTAGCCAACTGAGCCAGGGCAGGGAGAACATTCTGGACTGGATCTGAGGATGGACAGGAGGGTGTGCAGGCCCCAGCAAGGCCTGGAGAGGGACTCCCTGCCCACAGGCACGGACACCCGGACACCCGCACCGAGGGGGCTTCCCTGTGCTGATAAAGGAGGCCCTGCCCCTTGTGTGGCCCTCATGCAGTGCTCGGGGGCACCCCTGCCCCAGCCTGGCCCAGAAACACCGGAGCAGGACCCACCCGCTCCCACTGCTGGCTCTGGGCCACCGCGGCACCGCCCTTTCCTCACGAGCTGGTGGTCTAAAGCCGAGGTTAAGAAAACAAGCAAACAGTAAAAGCCAAAGTAAAGCAAAATGAAGTAGAATAAAATACTAAGATTACAAGGAGTGAATTTCAAAAAGGAGGAGTTTCCCAAATGGCTGCCTCTCGTGTGTCCAATGACTGTCTTTGTGAGTGACTATGCCAAGTGTGCAGGGCTCTCCATGTGTCCCTTGAGGTGCGGTGACCGACTGCCCCCCCGCCCCGCCCCGCCCGGCCACATCAGCCCGCACACGCTACAGGCCGCTGCCCTGCTGCCCTCTGGTGCACTGAGCGGGGTCTGTCGGCCTGTTTCTGACTTAGAGCCATAAGCTTATTTCACTCTCATTTTCTTTGCTTTTAGTCTTTTTCTTTTAAAAAAAGTTAATGGATTCTTATTAAGTGCCCACCATGTGCTGGGTGTGGTTCTAGTCCCTGGGGTTGCGGAGGGATGGTGTCTGCCTGCATGGGCCTCATGATGGCCTGTGTCCACAGAGGCCCTTCTCCTTCCCGCATGAGAGCACGGAGCCATGGCCACCTGCTTCATTCAAGTGAGGCTGAGACTGACCCAAGGGTCACAGTCTACAGGAGGTGCCTGTCGGGGAACACGGGGTGGAGGCAAGAGGATGGCCGCATGGTCAGACGAGCAGGTTGAAGCCAGGGTTTGCCGTTCAATACACCATGTGGTCACCAGGCGCTACTAGTGTCTCTGAGCCTCAGGCTTCTCATGTACTAAATGCAGATTCACTTTAGGGCTTTGCGTGCACCTCTTGGCTCCTGCAATGGTATGATTTGTAAGTGTGAGCTCTTTTTGGTGCTAAGTGAATGCACTCTTATAATCTCACATCCGAACCTGCTAAATCTGGGGCCTTAGGAAATGACAGTATTTAGAGATGAGAAATGGGGGAACTCTGAGGGGAAGTGCAAGTGAGACCTGAAGGCTGCCGTCGGCGTGGTCCGAGGATGCTCAGCAGCTGCGTCCTGTTTACTGTGCGTGGCAGCAACCCGAGCGGTAGGCTTCCCTCTGTGACTCTCGCGCACAGCTGGGTGAGTCCGGCTCCGGGGAACAGGACAAGGGACTGGCTGTGCTGCAGGTTTTCTGAAGAAGGTGTTGTGTGCACAGTTGGGTGTGTGGTTGCCATAGGGTAAAACCAGACAGGTGAGACCCAGCCTCTGACTCCAGTCTACCACTTGCAGGTGGTGAGCGTGACTTGTCACTCAACTGGGCTGTCTCAGCCTCTATTTTCCCATCCCTAACGTGGGACACCGGCATTTGCAGGATGAGATGACTGGTGTGTGGACACAGGGCTGCAGGGCCAGGGGGGCAGACACTGGTTAGCAGTGTCCTTGGTTGCTGTCTAGACCCCTCGTGAAGTGCGGGGCAGCCGCAGAGGGGAGGTGCTGTTTGAGCTTCCCCGGGGGCAAAGCCTCTACATCGGCCAAGAGGTTTGGCCTGGTCCAGGGGTGGAAAGTTGTGTCCGTGACTCGAAGCCGAGGAGACGTGGCACACGTTCCCACTGCCTGGAACCCTTCGTCGCGTGGCCTCGGTGTCACGCGTGTTTGCTGTCTTCCAGCTCTGGATGAACGCCGCGGACAGCCTGGAGCTCTCCCTCTTCTCCCATCTGGCGGAAATCCTGCGATCCCCCAGGTAGGCGGGCTTCGGCAACCTACGCTGCACCGCAGGCTTCCTGCCACGAACACGGCCGAGAGGCCAGAGGCCAGTGGCTCAGCAACCGTGTCCCCTCGTGGCGGCCCCTCTGGCTCAGCCTGCTCAGGCCCCTGGAACAGAGGGGCCACAGACTGGGGCTTGTAAACCACAGAAATGCATCTCTCAGGGTTCTGGAGGCTGGAAGTCTAAGGTGGTCGATTCGGTGTGTGATGAGGACCCCTTCCTGGGCTGTAGGTGGCCGCTCCCCACTGCTTCCCCTGGTGGACGGGTGAGGGTTCTCTGGCGTCTCTTTCATGAGGCACTAATCCGATTCACTAGGCGTCACCCTCATGATTGAATTGCCTCCCCAAGCCCCCCACTGAGTGTTAGGTTTCAACATAAGAACTCGGGCGATCACAGACACTGAGTCTACAGCAGCACCGTCCCGGGCTCAGTGCGGGGCAGGCCTGTGTCCCTGCTGCTCTGGGGCCTCGAAAGCAGCTTTCCGCCCTGGCCGGCGGCACCTGCTCAGGGCACACAGTAAGAACCCATCTGCCTCCGACCAGGCTCCTGGGTGGCTTCTGCAGGCCCCGCTGAAGACGGCAGGGCTCTTTTGGTTACAAGTGGCAGAACTGCACTCCAGTGAACTTGGGGAAGGGAGAGAGAGGGAAGGAAGGAGTGTGTAGGGGTGGGGTGGGGAGAGCAGACTACTGCTGGTACAGTTGAGGGGCAGAGCTCCGCCTGAGGCTGGTGGCGCTCACCACTTTGTCTGAGGTCTGCTCCCCTTTTTCTCTGCTGGTGTCGTCTCAGCAGGCTCTGTGGCAGCAAGAGGGGGCCTCAGAACATCCCCCCCCAGCACGGGCGCAGGGAGGGCAGCTCTGAGCCCGGAGTCCTGGCAGGAGGGTGAAGTCTCACGGGGCATCTCGGCTCACTCTGCCAGGCTGGGAACATCTCATCCCTGGAAGGGGGAGGGGTTAGAAAGAAGTGGCTCCTGAAGAAAACCGAGGGCTCTGATCAGAATAAGCGGGAGGGAGGCAGGAAGCCAATGTGCCAACGTTCCAGTTCACACGGCTTCTCGGTGCTGCAAGTTCAGAGGACGAGGCACTGTCCCGGGGAGAAGAAACAGAAGCGGTCTGCTCCGTGCTGTGCTGTGAGGGCAAAGCCCACGGAAGGCAGTGGGCGCTCAGGAGCCCCGGCCACACCACACAGCTGGGTGCCTCTGCCTCTGAGGGTCAGGGACATGGAGCAGGCAGAATTCAGCAGCAGGACTAGAGACAGTCCCAGGAGCATGCCACCCGGTTCACCCTCCTCCACTTTATCTTCTTTTCCGTTATGTACCTTCTCTCTGTACCTGCTGTTTACTGAGAGGTGGGCACTCACCCAGGAGCCGCTTTCTTGGGGGGAGTAGGATTTTACTGGAAGTTGCGTTGTGATGAGCCCCCGAAGGGGAGTGTGGGTGCTTGAGCTCCGCCTGGCTCCCCTTTGACTCCGGGCTCCTCACTCTGCGGTTTGGGGCGGGCAGGAAGCGCGCACAGCAGACAGGCCCAGGCCGTGCCCCTGGCTCGGGGAGAGCTCACAGTCACACTCCAGCCGGCTGTCTTTGCTCTGAGTTTTCTGAGACCGCCATTAGTTTTCCCTGAGGCTTGGAATTGAAAAGTCAATAATGGAGGCTTGTCTTTGAGGCAGTTTCCGGGGCTGGGAGGGCATGGAGCCTGGTCCCCAACCACTCCGGCACTTGGCAGACACATATTCGATGGGCATCTGATAGCATTCTAAGAGTCAGAGGGCCACAGAGCAAGCCCAGCCTGGAAAACCTTTTTAGCAGAAACACAGCAGATTTGGTTCATTCCAGTAAAAGCTTTTACCGCCTCTCTCCTGGCTCACCAGGGACGGAGCCCGGAATGCCGAAGTTGCCCACCAGGCACAGCTCATCCCCAGGCTCGTCTTCCTCTTCAGTGAGCCGGGCCTCGCCCCCTCCAAGATCCCCACCGTCATTGCCGTCCTGGGCTGTCAGCTGAGGGGCCACTTCAATGTCCAGGACTTGCTCAGGTACTGCTTGCTGCACGCTTCCCAGGGCAAGGGCAGAGCCTTCGGACTGTTCTGCGAGGGAACGGCCCAGCCCCCTCCTGACCACACAGCCGCCCCTTCAGTGCAGTGGCTGGTTCTGTCCAGGGCCCAGAGTTGACAAAAGGGGCGGATGTGAGAGATGCCCCAACAGGGCTGTGTGCTCCCTGCCCCCTGGTGCTCACACATACTGTGCCAGGAATCCGATACTTTCCATGAGCACAGCCATCACCCCTGGCTGATGACCCGACACGCCTGCCCTTCGCAGACTTCCTGAAGGGCGGGCATGACATTTAACCTCTCCATCATCATCACTCTGCTTGGTTGATCTGGCAGTGCCAGAGTTAACTGCTCTGATGCACCCTGAAGGACTGTAGATGTCCCTGGAAATGGTGTATTAGTCACAGAATCACACAATTCCCCTCGAACCCACCCTCGCAGCCATGTTTGGGTGGGTTCGTGTAGGCAACATGCACTGTGTTCAGCAGACACGGCTGAGCCCTGCACTGAATGTGTCCTTCTCTTTCTGTGGTAAGGGTGGCGCTGTTCGTTGTGTATACCCTCAAGCCTGCATCGGTGGACGAGAGGCAGATCTGCATGGATGAGACCCCAGGGCCCTCTGTGCCGGGTGAGGAGGCCTTCCCAGTTCCTGGTCTGAGGCAGCATGGTGACCCTTGCTGTGTGCCTGAGAACCACACGTCTTGGGCATCATGTAGAGGGAGGGGCTGAGACAAAGGAAGGGGAGGCACCCACAGCTGAGCAGCTGTTCCCAAATAGTGGCTGTGAGGTCATAGTTTTATGATTAGGGTCACACATCAACACATCAAATTAACCTGTACATTCCTTCTTCACAACCTGGACCAGCTTCCAGGATAACACTCCATCCTCTCTAGACCAGCAGGTGGGATCCTTCAGTGCCCAGCCCATGCCTACCTTCCTGGCTGACTGTCCCACCCCTGCTGCCCCGATAAGCCCCAGTTTCAGCACTCTGCAGCCCTGCAGGTCCTGGTGCAGTGGTCTGTCCTCTGTGCATGCAGTGCAGGTCCTGGTGCAGTGGTCTGCCCTCTGTCCGTGTAGTACAGGTCCTGGTGCAGTGGTCTGTCCTCTGTGCATGCAGTACAGGTCCTGATGCAGTGGTCTGCCCTCTGTCCGTGTAGTACAGGTCCTGGTGCAGTGGTCTGTCCTCTGTGCATGCAGTACAGGTCCTGATGCAGTGGTCTGCCCTCTGTCCGTGTAGTACAGGTCCTGGTGCAGTGGTCTGTCCTCTGTGCATGCAGTGCAGGTCCTGGTGCAGTGGTCTGCCCTCTGTCCGTGTAGTACAGGTCCTGGTGCAGTGGTCTGTCCTCTGTGCATGCAGTACAGGTCCTGATGCAGTGGTCTGCCCTCTGTCCGTGTAGTACAGGTCCTGGTGCAGTGGTCTGCCCTCTGTCCGTGTAGTACAGGTCCTGGTGCAGTGGTCTGTCCTCTGTGCATGCAGTACAGGTCCTGATGCAGTGGTCTGTCCTCTGTGCATACAGTGCAGGTCCTGGTGCAGTGTCTGCCCTCTGTCTGTGCAGTACAGGTCCTGGTGCAGTGGTCTGTCCTCTGTCCGTGTAGTACAGGTCCTGATGCAGTGTCTGTCTTCTGTCTGTGCAGTACAGGTCCTGATGCAGTGGTCTGCCCTCTGTCTGTGCAGTGCAGGTCCTGGTGCAGTGGTCTGCCCTCTGTCTGTGCAGTGCAGGTTCTGATGCAGTGGTCTGCCCTCTGTTCATGCCGTTCACATGCAGTTCCTTCTGCAGAAATATCTGCCCTTCCCTGGCCCCACTCCCTACCTCATCTCACTGGACGAGCCATGCTAGGCCCACCGAGCCATGCTAAATCACCTCCTCTGTGCTTCTGAACCCTTGGCTTGCTCTGCACAGGTTTGTGCGCAGTGTCTTTGAGTGGCTCTCTCCCGACCAGGTGCAGAACAGCTGCTGTGTAGTGTCTGCATCCTCTTTGCAGAGACCAGTGTGAGGGAATGCCTTTTGCCCCTCTGTTCTGGGTCCTCCCGATCCGTGCTGTCCACAATGGGAGCCTCAAGCCACCTGTGCCATTTTAATTACTTGAAATGAAATGCAATTAAAAATGTCATTCCTCAGTCACACTAGCCACATTCCAAGTGTTGATAACTTCAAGAGGTGAGTGCTCCCTGAAGGGACAGGGCAGGTACAGAACATGCTTGTCATTGCAGAAGAGTCTCCTGGGCAGCATTACTAAATCTAAATAAATTCTCTCTTCTCCTTAGACCAAGGCTGAAAAGTAGAAATTACCATTTCACTTTGCAGATGAGGAAACTGAGGTTCAGAGATATTAGGACCTTAATAAGAGATTGGGCCAGAATCCAAATGAAAGGGAATCTAAGTCCACTTCTCCAAGCTGCTCCATTGGTTCTGTTTCTACAGCATGGCTTCTGTGCCCTGAATTGGTTGTAAAATACCTGGCCAATCACGGGCATGAATGAATGGGTGATAGGCCAGCAGTAAGCTTATTTAGTCAACCCTCCTTGTATGGACTCCATTCTGAAACTTTTGCAAAAGCATCTTGAGACAGTGTTCACATGTCCTTTGAGGCTGTCATAACATTAAGATACAAAGTTTCTCTTTCCACTGGATCTAGGTACTAAATCTTGAGCTATAGCTCAAGCTCTGTTTCCTGCAGCATCGACATGCCAAAGTCTAGTCTGGAAGCTCCTTGAGAGCAGGAACCATAGTCTCCACACTCTACCCCAGTGTCTCGGAAGACCTGCCAGTGACTATGTGCTCAAGAAATGTTGCAGTCTGTGATGATTAAACAGTTCTTCTACTGGAAGATACATTTTAAGGAGTGTGTGTGTGTGTGTGTGTGTGTGTGTAGGTAGGGAGATGGAAAACATCTCTAGTTAAAGGCAACTTTAGGAACATTTCCTGCAAATAGTTTAAAAGCATTGTATTGAAGTCTAGAATTGAATGACAAAATGTGGAGTCCCATCAACAGCCCAATTCCTGAATGAAATAAGCATTTGGTGATACGGTTGCTTCCTGCAGAAAAGATTATGGCTCTTTACATCTGTTCCCTCTCAAATCTAAATTTTCTCTGTTTGTAGCTGGAAGCCAAACATCTGGAAAGACAATCTGGCTCAGAAACCAACTGCTGGAGATGCTGCTCGGTGTGATGTCTTCCTCCCAGCTTCATCTCTCCTCTGAGTGAGTAGCTCCAGGAAGAGCGATTTGGCATGGTACCGCCTCATCCAGGGTGCAGTGTTAAAGCCTCTTCCTAATGAAAAGTTTAGCATCTCCGAGTCAGCTGTCTGCAATATGTTTCCTGCACTAGTCAGAAAGAAAATGATATCCTCTCCACCCAATAAAGCAGACCTTGCCCTGAGATATTTTGATGAAAATGTCTAATGGGCATAGTAACTCGAGACAGATTTGGTATAATTACAATAAACTCCTTTGTCACTGCTGTCTAGTATAATTGTCACTGTTTCGGCAGTTGTGACAATGACTAGTTTTGATGTCCTTTACTTGGCAGACATCAGAGTGGAGGAATGGTTAGCCTAAATATCATCTATCAAGGAAAAGGCTTGCCAAATTCTGCTCTTTACTGTTTGTTGTTACTTTCCCAAGTTGGAAAACAAATACGTGCCTTTGATCAACTTTCAAAACAATGTGTAATCGTAAAGTTCTATTAACTTTCCCACTGACTGCCGGCTTTCCCTCCAACCCTGGAGTCATTTATTGAACACCTGTTTGTTGAGTACCTACTATGTGCCGGATGCTGTGCCTTGACATGAGGATGTGCTGCTGAGCAAGTCAGTCCAGATCCGTGCTCTTGACAAACTGACATTTTAGTGCTTATGTGTGTTATAGGGAGGAGAGTGGGTTACCCCTCAGTAAAACAGCTTTGCAAATAGTGCTTAAAATGTTGCCAGCCCAGCCCTGGCTGGTTTGGCTCAGCAGTTAGAGCACCAGTGTGCAGACCAGAGGGTCTTGGATTTGATTCCCAGTCAAGGGCACGTACCTGGGGTGGAGGTTAGGTCTCTGGCCCCAGTTGGGGTCATGCAGGAGGCAACCAATTGATGTATCTCTCTGACATCAATGCCCCCCTAGCCCTCCCTCTCTTCCACTCTATCTAAAAAGAAAAATAAAATAAATGAAAAAATATTCTCTGGTAGGGATTAACAACAACAAAAATTTGCCAGCTATACATATTTACGTTGCTAGAATCAAAACCTGGTGGAACTGGATAACTTGGAGATGAGATAGTCCAAACACTTCCTTTTCCTTATTGAAGGGACTATAGTGCAGTGTTTAACCACCTGGGCTAAGAAGTTAGACCTCCTGGATTCAAATCCTAGCTCTGTTCTCAGTGACCCTAGGGAGGTAACTCAAGCCCTTGATGCCTCTCTTCTACTCTACTATGTGAAGATAAAAATAGTACTTTCCAGAACTGGAAATTAATATTGGATAGCCTGCAGCATGGTGCCTGGAGGCTATAAGTGCTCCATCGGCAAACTTCTATCATCACTATCACCACCAGCACCACCATCCTCATCACCATCATCATTAACACCGTCACCATCAGCACTATCATCGCCATCACCTCCATCATCATCGCCATCACCATCATCACCATCAGCACCTCACCACCATCACCACCATCACCATGACCACCATCATCCTCATCACCATCATCACCATCAGCACTATCATCACCATCACCTCCATCATCATCAACACCATCACCATCATCACCATCAGCACCTCACCACCATCACTACCATCACCATCACCATCACCACTATCACCATGACCACCATCATCCTCATCACCATCATCACCATCAGCACTATCATCACCATCACCTCCATCATCATCAACACCATCACCATCATCACCTCACCACCATCACCACCATCACCATCACTATCACCAGCACCACCATCATCCTCATCACCATCATCACCACCATCACCACCATCACCATCACCACTATCACCAGCACCACCATCATCCTCACCACCACCACCACCACCATCATTGAGGAAAATGGCCAGAGCACAGCAAGTTCTGCCGAAGTTTCCCAGTTAGATAGTTGAGAGGCAGGACTAGAAGACAGGACAGTCCTTGAGTCCTAGCCCAGTGACCACCCCTCACCATACCTGGTCTGGCAGCTGATGCCTAGAGCACTGCCTGGGACAGGTAGACCCTTCCCTGGCTCCCGGGAGGCTGGGGGCCATGGCCCAGGCTGCTGCCCACCTCCCCGCCCTCCAGTTCCCTCTGGCAAGTCTGCATGCACCACATTCATCATTTTAGAATTCATTTTTGGAAGTGATAGTAAATCATGTATTTTTATTGCTTGAACTGATAAAGATGCAGAAATTTTGGACTAGTCCATTTAGATTGGCTTTATAACCACTATGCGATTTATGTGACCAGATTGTTGTAATCAGGGGTGGCCATCAGACACTGTGTAAGTGTAAATACCAGTGGAGTAGGGCTGTCGAGGGGCCTGCATGTGTTACATATATTGATACGTAGTTTCCAGTTGCTTTGAAAACCTTTGGCCAACTTATACTTTAACCATTAAGAGACAAATTCACCCATTTTGCAGCAACTTTGCCAGCATTTTATTTATTCTTTGAAAATGCAATGTGTATTTTGCTAAGTGATATCCAGAGATTAACCTTAACGTGCCTTCCTGGGTGACCAGTGAGGTTGGACGTCATTCACATTTTCTGAAAGTGCCCTTTGTGTGTGTTATCACCTAGGACGAAGGAGGAGGTCTTCCTGAGCCTGGGGCCTGACTGGTTTCTGCTGCTCGTGCAGGGCCACCTGCACCCCACCACCACGGTGCTGGGGTGGAAGCTGCTGCTACACTTCCTGTCCCTGCCATCCCTGCGCGGCCGATTCAAAGACGGCCTGAGTGCGGGGGCCTGGGTGGAGCGCAGCGCCGAAGGCCTGGACATCTTGATGGGTGAGCATGTCCGCCACCGGGAAGGGGTTCTCATGGAGCATTTCTGTGCCCATGTTCATATGCCATCGATTTCTATCCGCATTTCTAGGGGACGAGAGGGTGGCAGGGAATTCCCCCGTGCACCCCATCCCCACCCTTGCCCGAAGCACTTGCAGCTGTTTCAATTGTGTCTTGTGCCCCTTCCCGATCGCCAGATAACTTGAAGAGCCAGCTCCCCACGCCTGAGCACAGCCCCTGCCTGCTCCCTGGGTTCCGCGTCTTGACCAGCTTTCTGGCCCACCATGTCCACATCCCGGAGATCTACCTCATCGTGTCCGCCTTCTTCCTGCAGACGCCGCTCACAGAGCTGACGGCTGGACCCAAAGTGGGTTCTGGGGCCCCGGGAGGGAGTGACGCCTTGGGTTTCTGATGCGGCTTGACCATGGCCCTTACCGCAGGCTCCACCTCACCTCGCCCCCTTCCCTAGCTGTGCCTGCCCCTTCCCTGGCAGCTCTCCATGGTCCTCAGTCCCACTGTGAGATCATTCTCCGTGGGCACACCTGGAGCAGTCCGTGATGATGGTGGGGTGGAGGCAGAAGGCCCTTGCTGTCACCGTAGATGCAGAGCCTCAGTTCACGCCTGCACCTTAGTGACGCCCCTGGGGTCCCCTGTGTTCCGATAGAAACCTTGTATGTGCTGAGTCCCATGCCCACAGCTGCCCGCTCCCTCGCTCGCCTGCCCTTCCTGCTGCGACCCTCCTGAGCCCCCACAGGAAGGCCAGCTGCCTTCGCTTGCCCGCCCTGTGCCTTGAATGACTGTCCCGCACCACCCGGCGCCCCTAGACAGAGGCCCCGCCTCTCCGTGGGCCTCAGCACATCTCCGCCTCATGTGGCACAGACACATCTTCGGCTGCCTCTCTCTGTAGGACCGAGCCCCTCAGGAACAGACCCACCTCTTACCCACCTTCTGACCTCTGACAAACAGCGGAACCAGAAATCATTCTTGGTCTTGACCGAGCTGAGTTAGACGGCACTGGGTTGAAACGGAGCGTGGCCAGAGCTTTGCGAATACAAGGCTGAAGGGCACATCGCGGCTTCTGATGGTCGGGACATTGGCAGATAGTAATAGTGTCAGCACCCACTGCAAACCGCGGCTCTGCAGGCTGTGCTGGGCTCATCAGAACCCTTTTCATTTCTCCCAGAACGTGTCTAGGAAGCAAGTACCTGCTGAGTGTCAGGACCCATGATAGATCGTTTCCATATTTAATTCACCTGGTACTTTGATAGTCCCCCGGGGTAGATGATGCCATTTTCATTCCACAGAGATGGCGACTGCACAGGTGTGAGCCCCACCTCTAAGGAGGCAGTCGGGTCAGCCTGCCTGTCACCCGGTGCTCTGCCCTCTGGCCGAGCTTCCCCTGAAGGGAGGGCGTCACATGTGTCTGTGACCTCTCGCACAAACCGTCAGTCAGGTTGCTGGGACAGTGCTGGTGACGCCAGACTGAGAAAACCGAGCTCGACACAATTGCTAGTAGGATCCTCGGCACTTTCTTGGACGTGTGTGTTTCCCTGATGCACCGAGTGGGCTGGTGTCCCCACCTGGGCCAGCCACCTCGGATGTTCCTGTGCTGTTTTGCCTTTGCAAATGGGGCCCCAGGGAACTCAGCAGACGGAACACAGGTGTCTCGGGTGCAGCCGTGGTCTGCAGCCCTGGCCTCTCTTTCAGGACAGCCTGGACGCCATGCTGCAGGGGCTGCTGCAGGAGCATTGCACAGAGGAGGTGCAACGGGCTGGGCTGTGCACCGAGGGCGCCCTGCTGCTCCTGGCAATGCTGAAGGCCACCATGAGCCAGGTGAGATCGCTCCCCACATGCTGTGACGGGGCCGACAACTGTGAAAGGGCCGCCTCAGCTTTCCCCAGCAGCCAAGTGATGCTAGTGATTAGCGAGTGTTGTTCAGCGTCCTTGCCAGCAGAGGCGCTGGGTTCCGGAGCTGGCTCAGGTGCACAGTGGGAACCAGCCGTGTCTCCAACGCGGTTTATTTCTTCCTGCCCTATGCCTTCTGTTTTCCATTTGCTCAATCATTTGACTTTCTTCACTTGGAGATGTATGTGTTCATCAAAAGGAGCATTTCTGAGCAACTACGTTAGGTCAGGAGCTGCTCTCCCCTCCAGGAGCTCACCCCTGCCAGGACGGGGGCTCTCACAGTGACCTGCGAGGTAGCTAGATGCCAGAGAGCCTTCGGTCAGGCCATCCAGGTGTGCCGTAGGAGCGTGGAGAGGTATTTTAGACAGGAAGATAGGTGTCAGGTTTGATATCAGAATTATGCTAGCTTAATTTTGAAAAGATTTTTTTTATATTTAAGAAGATATTAAGTCCATTGTTTTCATAGTATTAAATTGTTTTTATGAAAGTTCTTGGGCCTGGATTTTTTTCCCCCATTATTGTCTTTTGTAGGCTTTGAAATAGCTCCTTGAACTAGTTCAGGTAACTTATATTTTTAAAAATCCTCCCATTTATTTAATTTGCATAAATGATCTCTTTTTTCTTTTTCTTTTTTATCCTCACCCGATGACATTTTTGCATTCATCTTCAGATAGAGAGAGAGGAAGAGAGAGAGAGAGAGAGAGAATCATTAATGTGAGAGAGACACATTCACTGGTTGCCACCCACACGATCTCAGCCAGGGCCGGAGACAAACTGCAGCCAAGGTATGTGCCCTTGGCGGGAACTGAACCCAGGTTTCTCTGGACCATGGGTTAACGCTCTAACCGTGGAGCCAAACCAGCCAGGGCACAAATGATCTCTTTTAATTTATTTAATTTTGTGTGATCATTTTTCCTTTCTTATTCTTAATTTATAAGTTTATACTGTCTCTTTACCTCACCCCTCCCATTACTTAAAAAGCCACAGACTTATGGATTTATTTAAAGAACCATCTTTATTTTTTTTATTTTTTATCCTCACCCGAGGATATTTTTCCATTTTTTGTACAGATAGAGTGGGAGGGAGAGAGAGAGAGACAGAAACATCGACGTCAAGGGACACATCGAGTGGTTGCCACCCGCACGACCAACCAGGGCCGGGGACAAACTGCAACCGAAGTACATGCCCTTAGCGGGAACCGAACCCGGGTCTCTCCGGACCGCAGGCCGACGCTCTAACCGCTGAGCCAAACCGGCCAGGGCAAAGAACCATCTTTAGATATATTAATCATTCTCCTGATTTTTTTCTGGCTAGTTCTAAGATTTTGATATCTGATATCTTCATTTTTTGTTGTTTTCTAGAGGTTCTGTGATTGCAATTTTTATACAATTTTTTTTCTTTATTGATTTTAGAGAGAGGGAGGGAGAGAGAGAGAGAGAGAAAGAGAGAGCTGAAAACATCAATGAGAGAGAACACTGATTGGCCGCCTCCTGCATGCCCCCACTGGGGATTGGCCCACAACCTGGGCATGTGCCCTGACTGGGAATCAAACTGGTGACCCTTGGTGCATGGGTCCACGCTCAACCACTGAGCCACACTGGCTGGGCAACTGTGATTGCAATTTTAAAAACCCCTTGATTGATATATTTCAGTGTCCATGTGGTTGAACTTTTTGTTTTGTTTATTATTGTGATCTATTTTCAGTTTTATTTTGTCCTAGTTGGAGCATGTGACTTGTACACTTTCCATCTTTGGGGAACTTAGTCATGGTTCCATTGTAGACCTAATGTTGCAATTAATTTTGGGATGCCTGAAAAACATATTTTCTGTCTGCAGCATGGGGAATCTGTTACCTTTCTAACCAATTAATGTTATTTTTAAAAAGGAATAAACAAAAGCATTAAAAATAAAGAAAATAGTCCAGCTGGTGTGGTTGAGCGTCAACCCATGCACGAAGAGGTCGCTGGTTTAATTCCCAGTCAGGACACATGCCCAGGTTGTGGGCCCGATCCCCAGTGGGGGGCACGAAGGAGGTGCCCAATCAATGTTCTCTCTCATCGATGTTTCTATCTCTCTCTCCCTCTCCCTTCCTTTCTCTGTAAAATCAATAAAGAGAAAAAAAATAAAGAAAATATATAGCATGCTAAGAGAAATAAAATAAATAAGACAAAACTTTTACATTATATTAAACATAAAATGGTAAACTGGTGCATTATAGATATGACTCTTTGGTCGGTAAACAAGGCCCCGCCGGCTGAGATCTAATGGACGTATGACCAAAGTAGCCACTCAGCGGTTGTTTGGTTCAGTGAAGCCATCTGTTATGAGGGTATCATTTCCCACGTGCAGTGGACAAACATCAAAATATAAAAGGCAAAAACCAAAGGATAAGAGAAAAAGACCCGGAACTTAATCGCAGTGAATAATTCTAACCTATCTTTCTCAAACTATTTCTTTTCTTTTATCTTTTTTCTTATACTATTGTTTGCTCAGAACTTTTTTTGGCTTGACATTACCCCTTGCCCAGTGGCAACGAACCTACCACATGTTGGTTTGCCTGCTCTTGAACTTGGTACCAACGAACTCATACAGAACGGAATCTTTTGCTTCTTCCACTTGTCCTCGTGTTTGTGGGATTCACTCACGATGCTGAGTATGTCTGCAATTCATTATTGTTGATTATGTATTTTATTGTGATAACTGGTCACAATTTATTTATCTGCTCTTGGTTGTTTCCATTTAGAACTATTACGGATACAGCTGCTGTGTATGTATCTTTGGGAAGGCATATCTATTTTTTCTGTTTGAAGTAAGCCCAGGAGTGAAATTGTGGTTCGTAAGTTATGCACATGACTTGCTCTAGTAGCTATCACCAAATAGCACCCCGAATGAAGTCTAGCTTACACTCACACTAGCTGAGTCTACTTGGAAGGTTCTGGTGGCTCCACAACCTTTCCAATGTATTGCACTGTTGGTCTTTCAGATGTCAGTGAGTTTACCATGTGCAACATTCCTTTGACACACATTATCTCCATTGTGTAAATGTGGAAACTGTAGCCATGGAGGTTAGCTCACTCAGGCAAGGTCTTGGAGCGAGGTCCTGGTGGACACATGCGTGTCCAGCATCAGTATTATGTTCCAGGTCACTGCCATGCCTGAGAACTTCAGGGGTTCCTGGTTGCTCACTGTATAAAATCCAAATTTCTCTTCTAAAAGCTCAAGTCCTCTCTGTCTGATCTTATCTCCCACCTTCTGTTTCCCTGGTGCTAGTCACTGTGAAAATAAGCCTGAAGCACCAGAATGTCTCATTCAGTCCTCACAATGAAATAGGTCACAGTCCAATCCTTGCTTTACAGAGTTGGGACAGGGGGTGTAGAGGGACGAAGGAACTGGTCCAAAGTTACACCATCAGTAAGAGGCAGAGGAAGGATTCAAACCAGCAGATAACTCCAGAAAATGTTTTCTGAGCTTCCTCTCTGGTGCTCCCCTGGAAATCTGACACTGTGCTGTGAGACCCTGCTGGAGAGGTCAGAGGCAGACCAGGAGCCGTTTCTCTCTGCCTGCCTCGCCCGAGCCAAACCCTGCGGGTCCAGCTGAGATCTGCTCTCTGACTGTCCGTGCACACGGCTGTGCCTTCCATAAGTAGGTCTGAGTGCCCGGGTGCACGGCTCAGTTCCGGGCACTTGGCACCTGCTTGGTAAACAAGACAGTCAGCCACGCACATGGCCAGGCCTTGAGGCCGACTGCTGCGGAAATGGGAAACGAGGAAGCCATGGCGGGACGGGCTGGGCTGAGGAACCAGTCGAGGGAAACCAGACAACAACCCTGCCAGTAGGCTGGGCATCACTCCATCTAGTGGTCGGCATGGCTGTGTAGGCTTGGACATTTTCAATTTCCCAGCTGCCCGTCAGGGTAGAGCAGGACCTTAGACAGCAGCTGGACTCATTAGGGCCAGAGCCAATCCCCAGGCAGAGTGGCATGGCTGACCAAGGGAGCTGAGCCCCAGGGGTCACTAGTGTGCAGCCAGGATGGAGACTCAGCGTGTGCCTGAGGCCAGGTTATGGTATGGGGGAGACAGGTGCCCGGGTCCCCTCACCGTACTGGTTATCAGCTCAGTACGATGTATACCATTCCAGACCCCTGGCTGGAGGGGAAGGCGGTTCTTGTGTCCGCCAGCCCTGGACACACACGAGCCAGGGCAGGGTCTCGAGCGGGGAGCAAAAGCGCTGGGCTGTGAAGGGCTGAGCTCGACCCTGATTTGCAAGGTCCTTGAGCACAGCGGCCATGTGGAACGACACAGAGGCAGTGTGGGAACATGGGGGAGGGGTAGCCTGGCCAGGTGGCCTGGAGTCAGTCAGCTCCTGGCCCTGCTCCTTACCCACTGGGCGACCTTTGGCGAGCTGCTCACCCTCTCTGTGCCTCTGGCTTCCTGTCTGTACAATTGCTACTGAGGGTCACCTGGGCCTCCTCAGAGGGTTGTGGGGGGAACTCAGGGTGCCTGCATGTGTGAGCCCTTCCCCAGCACCCGCAGGTCCCGTGTTAGGGCTCCTGCAGGGAGGTGTGTGCTGAGAGGCTCAGAAGGAGGTCTTCCTCCTAGATCTCAGACCCTGGCTCCCGCGGCCTCTCACGAAGTGTCTCTCAGCCCTCGGCAGGTGGAGACGAGGACGCCTGGGAGCGGACCTTCCCGGCCAGCGCTCTGCAGTTCCTCGGCCTGGTGCACAGCACCTACCCCCAGGATCCGGCCTGGCGGACGCCGGAGTTCCTCCAGACCTTGGCCACCATCGTCTTCCCGCTGAGCACCCCCAAGGTAGGCCGCGCCGCGACCCTGCTCCAACAGAAGAGCAAAGGGCACAATGCCCCCATGACTGCATCCCCAGTTAAAATACATTTTAAGGCAACTTAGCTGAAACAGTAAACAACTCGGGTAGTTTTCTTTTCTCATCTGAGATGCGGCTTGAGGACATTTTGAACTCAGATTCAGTACTTCTGTCGAGTGGCGAGGACTCCAGTTTGACGGCAGGTCGAGTCCAGGGGAATACCCTCCCACAGGTGACGAAGCAGCCGTCCCCGCCGGGAAGCCTGCGGCTGTGCCCCGGACCAAGGTGCCGCGTGGGGGACTGGACGGCTGTCCCCCTGCTCTTGCTCTCAGGCTCCTCCTCCTGCCTGCAGGCCAGGGCTCTGGACTCCTTGCAGCAGAGGGCGGCCGGGGGAGCAGAGGGCCTGCTGGCCCGGGGCACAGGGTGTCAGTGTGGGGTGGAGAGGGGCTCTGGGGAGAGACGTGAGGGAGATTGAGACCGAGAGCCCATCCCCGCAGGTCCAGGGGACTCCGCGGGCTAAGAGAATCCGTGAGCCGAGAGGAGCCGGTAAGAGGGGGTGCAGGGCAGAGACCGGCTGGAAGCCTGCTCACCGACCTGCTTGGTGCTAGGAAGCTGCGACCAGGCAGGGGCCTTGAGCGAGTGACACCGTCCGCAGATCTGTCCCTGCCGCTGAAGGACCGTGCGGAAAGGCAGGGCTGGCAAGGAGGGCGTTTGAAGCCAGGCCAGGCACAGGCGGCAGGCGGAGTCCGCTCCGTGACATGCTGCGACCCAGCGGAGGAGGTGCGCTGTCAGCTAGTCCTCCCAGAGGTGTGGCCACCGCAGCAGCCACCGTCCTGAGCCTGGTGGTCCGAGCCGACCGTCCTCCGCGGGTGGGGTATTAGTCAGGGAAAGGGAGTCAGCGCAGTGACGTGGGGCTGCCCAGTGTCCTGTGGGTTTAGTGGGGCCTCGGGACCTGCCCTGCAGATGGCTGAGAGACTGACATGCAGCCCGGCTCTGTGAGTGATACGGGACAGAGCTGAGACTACACATCTCTCCCACAGCCCCCTCGCCCCTCCCCCCGAAACCCACACCCTTCAGTCACCGTCAGTTCCAAATCAAAGCAAATGGCCAAATAAAACTTAGGACTCATTTGTCTTAATAAAAAGACTAAATAGAAAGGCTCCATTTAGAAAAAAGAGAAAATGGCGTGTTGGGTTCTCATCAAGTACAGTAACGCACTAGAAAAGCAAGAGTCCAGGGAAAGACGCGCTGGAGGACTGGGGAGGAGACGCCGTGCACAGAGGCCAGGCTGGGAGGAATCTGCAGGCTGACCTCGCCACCCTCCCAGCAGCCCCCGGGAGGTGGCCAGACCCTGACGTCCTGACATGTTGAGCCGAAATCCCCACCTCAGCCCACGCAGCGGGCCAGGCTCATCATTTGCAGAGTTGGCTCCAGCCGGCCGCCAGGCCGCAACCAGAGGACAGTGACCTGGGCTTTCCTCTCTGTGCTCAAGGGTTCCTGCCTGGGGCAGGGTCCAGCCGAGTCACCTCCCCAGCCGAGCTCCATGGCCAGCCGACTTGGGCCCCTGGCTCCAGTTCCGAAGCCCTGTCCCCTCACCCCCTTGCCTTCCCCAAGACCAAGTCGGCTCCACAACGCCTTAGTTGCACAGAAGATGTGACGGATCCTCTTTGTGCAGAACGGTGGTGGCCAACGGCTTCCACTTGCTGTGAATCCATTGGCATCTTTCCGGTCAGGGCTGCACAGAGCTGGTGAAGGCAGTCACCACCTCCCCTGTGCCACTAAATCCATTTTATGGCTTAATTAAGAAGGGCCGAGTTAACTTTATGAATGAGCCAAGGGGGTGCCCGCAGTGGACCGCTCGGGCGCTGCAGGCCCTGGCCGGTGTCCTTGGCATGGCGCTCGTCCTCCCAGCACGCGGTGCTTTTCTGGAGGTAGCCGGGCTAGTGATGCCACCGCATGTAGCTCCCTATATTTTTATAGACAACAAAAATGAGACTATGAAGGCCGAAGTGCCTCAGGGACTTGGCTGCCGGGACTTGCTGAAGCGCTAACACCTCTTTGCACGGAGGTCCTGCCTGGCAACAGCAGGAAGCTGGCAGGCAGGAGAGGAGAGGGCCCCCCGGGCAGAGCCAGCTCTCTGGACTGTGTGCCCAGCAGGCACACACCTCTCTGCGATGCCTTTAGTGCCCCACAACTGCTGAGAGCTTGCGGGAGGAGACCACCTGCCCGGGCCACGTTGGGTGTCACTGCCCAGCGCTGTGGCTGCTCTTCTCCACGCTCGGCTTCCCTCCCCCACTCCCGCCTGCTTGGGGTCAGGGCCAGAGCAGGCACCCTTCCGAGCCAGGAGACCCTGGGCTCTCACCCCTTCTGCAGATCCTCCATCTCCTCACAGGTTCACCGGTTTGATGAGCATCTCACCCAGGCGCACCCCCGCAGTGGCTCTGACAGCGCTTCGAGGATGTGCAGGCCACTCACTCTGCGGTTCTCTTGTCTTTGAGGGGGCCACGGCTGAGCCTGCCGAGAATGCCAGCAGCCCTGGGGCCGAGGCCGACAGTGACAGCGTTGAGGAGGGTCTGCAGACTCCTGCCAAGTCCCACCCCACACGGAAGCAGCTGAGGGTGTTCATGCAGCTCCTCCTGAGGGAGCTTTTGCTTGCACCTCCCAGCCCCAAGCAGTGGCTGCCCCTGGAGGTGCTGCTGGAGGTGAGAGCCCAGGGGCGCCAGGCTGGTGCTGGGGCGTGGGCACCGCGAGGGCGGGCACCGAGGGAGTGTGTGCACAGGGCCGGTGCTGGGGCGTGGGACCCGAGGGAGTGTGCACAGGGGCCGGTGCTGGGGCGTGGGACCCGAGGGAGTGTGCACAGGGCCGGTGCTGGGGCATGGGACCCGAGGGAGTGTGCACAGGGGCCGGTGCTGGGGCGTGGGACCCGAGGGAGTGTGTGCACAGGGGCCGGTGCTGGGGCGTGGGACCCGAGGGAGTGTGTGCACAGGGCCGGTGCTGGGGCGTGGGACCCGAGGGAGTGTGTGCAGGGAGACCTGAGGGCTGACCCCTGCGGGAGCTGGCTCGTGGTCAAGGATATCTCAGGGACTGTTGTGATGTGGGGGAGGGAGTCCTGCAGGAGCACAGGCCCCAGTAGAGCAGGGAGCAGCCAGTAGCCAGGGACAAGCTGAGTGAGGGCGAGGCTGACCAGAGCCGGAGGTAGGGCTGGCACAGAAGTGATTTATTAGGGGCTGTGCCTCAGGGGAGGCCTAGAAGGGTGCAGGGGGATGAGGGAGAAGCTAGCCAGGGAACGGTCTCAGCCACAGCTGGTCCCAAGGGGAGCGCTGTGTGCTGTCTGCATCCCAGACGTGGTCCCACCTTGAGGCACCTGCCAGGCAGGCATTGTCGTGGGCCACGCTGACTTGCCTTCTCAGCCAGGACGTGGTCATCCCCTCCTGGATAAGACAGCATGGCCAGCAGAAGGCAGTGCCTTGGAGAAGGGAACATTGTGAGCTGTGGGCACGTGTGGTGTCAGTACACAGGCCAAGCAAGGGGCCTGGCGGGCACTGCGTGGACATGATGCCACGTGGCTGCTGTCTGAGCTCTGGGTGTGATTTCAGGCTTCTCCAGACAATGCCACCGGCCAGCAGAGGCGGGACTTCCAGTCCGAGGTCCTGCTGTCCACCATGGAAGTATTTCACGTAGTGAGTGCAGGTGATGCGTCGGTGCTCAGAGGTGAGTGGGGTGACTTGCTCCTCACTGCTGTGGCACAGAGCTGCTGGCAGCGGAGCGGAAGCCAGTGCGCCCCCAGCCCTGGCCCATCTCCTAGAGGGGCCTGGGCTCCTGCGCTGCAGGAGGCTCTGGAGCCACGGGAGGTGCTCACCATGATCCTCAGAACGAGCTCCCTGGCCCTGCCCAGAGCCCTGGGGAAGGCATGCTTGGTCCTCTCCATGCTGCGTCCGCCGGAGGCCACTGGGAGACAGACAGCCCTGCCCTCTGAGCTGAGACCAGTTCTCGAGCTTCAGCACAAGCGCGTCCTCTTCCCGGGGGAGTCCGGTGCCAGCTGGAATCGGCGCTCTGTGCCGCACCTTAGTCTTTGCACCTGGGCCTGGGCACGGCCAGTCTTTCTTAACCAAGGAATCTGGGTGAAGATGCTGCCATTGCCCTCAGAAGTTCAGATCGATGCCGCATTCAGGACTGAGTTCCCTGCCCTGGCCCCTGTGGCTCAGGTGGTTGGAGCGTCGTCCTGTGCACCAAATGGTCATGGGTTCAATTCCCTGTCAGGGCACATGCCCAGGTTGCAGGTTCGATCCCTAGTCAGGGTGTATACGGGAGGCAACCTATCAGTGTTTCTCTCTCTCCCTTCTTCTCTCTCTAAGGATCAATAAAACATCATATCCTCAGGTGAGGATTTAAAAGAATATATGAAAAAAAGACGACTTTATCCCAGAGCAGCTGTACCTTCCCAATAAGATTAAACAAAGTGGCTTCCGAGCCATGTAACCCTTGGTGACACAGCAGCTTCTGGTCCCCTCCAGGCCCCACGGTGCAGAGACCCTGGCCCTTGGCCTTTCTTCTGGAGGCTCTGGAGTTTGGTGGTAGACAGCGGTGGACAGCGTGAGCTTGGGGTCCCAGCTCTGCTCTTGGCTCTGTCCAAGATGGTGTGGCCCTGGACCGGTGCCTGACCCTGTGATGGGACAACAGGCGTGGCTGACTCAGAGGGTGGTGGTTAGGGTTAGCCGAGATTGCAGCATTCACACCGAGAACGGAGCTTGTCGTGTTGGTGAGCATCACCAGATGGTCCATGTCACAGCTTGTCCTCCACCTGACCTCACGCAGGGCCTCAGGTCACCGTACCCGTCTTCCTATTTGCCTTGTGCCCAAATTTCCCACCATGCTCATTCCGAATGGCCCTGGAAAGATAGCTTCCACACCTGCTTCCTCCCAACTTGGCTTGTTCCACGACTAGATGGTTCTAGGCCAATTTGGAATAAATGGGTCTTCTCTGGGCATCTGGGTCTAAGACCCATCTTCGGAGCACCAGGGTATACAGTGGGCTACAATGGGGTGTAAAGAGGTGAATGAGATGTAGTTGGTCACCCATAGGGATTAGAGACTCTTGTGGAAAGAAGGCCATTCAGACTCTGATGGCTTCTTAGACTCAGTCTGTCTCCTCATTCCTTAGGCAGTCAAGAGCCTCAGCCAAGCACAGAAGCTGCTGCTGCTCCTTTACTCACGAACATCTCCCACTTCACCCAGAAGCTGGTAGAGAAGCTGTACAGTGGAATGTTCTCAGCAGACCCTAGACACATCCTTCTCTTCATCACAGAGCACATCATAGTGGTAAGAACCCCAGGCTGGCCACGGAGACAGCACGTGTCTGTACAGCGTGCTGTTGCTGTGCCGTTGGTCCAGATGCGTGCTGTCCTGGGCTCGGATCTGAGACGAGTGGGAGGCAGACGGAGGACCTCATGGCCCAGACAGTACCTGGTGGCTGCTGAGCGTCCCGCAGGGCTCTCACCTCAGGCCACCTGAGATCCTTCTCAGTGGTCAGGAGCCATGGTCCCCTGTTCCGGCATCTGAGCTCTGTCCCCCTCTAGACTCTACACACCTCCTTTGGGTTTTTATTAGGATTGTTGGTTTAATCTTAATTTTTGTTATTCTTCATCAACAAAGAAAGGGCCAAAAAGGAACTTATCTCCAGAAGATGTACTTCATTTTCTCCTTTAGTGTGCGCCTCCATTGCCATGCTTGGGCCTTCCTGAAATTGAGGCGCGCGTCTGCTTCCACCGAGTCCTGCTGTGTTTTCATGCTCTCTCTGCAGACAGATCCACAAACACGCCCTTACGTGCAAGCGCGTGCCTGTAGCTACTCCCTTAGGAGTGTGTGTACGTGAGTCGCAGCTTCTGTGCTGTACACGTGTACACACACAGACCTACACAATCTCACAGTTCTGGAGTTGAACTATTTTTTGGTCTTTCTCTCCCATTTCACTCTGGAACGCTTTCTTTCAAGTGGCCATTCGCTCTTGTGTCGAACCCTCCCTGCACAAGGAGCTCACTGCGGTGTAGGTGGTCCCAGCCAAGGGGACACCTGTGACTGTAGGGAAGCACTTCCTCTTCCTCCACAGAACTCAGCCTCCAGCACCACCTGCCGGCAGCTCTTGGCGTGTCCTGTGCAGCACAAGGAGAGCCCCTGTCTTCCTCTTCATGCCTCAGGGAGAGGACATGGGCACCCACGTGCCCTCTGTCTGTAGAGTTAGCTGCAGGCTCCTTGACAGTCTTGCAGCTTGGCTGATGGGCATTTCCAGGGCAGCCTGCAGAAACGTATCCAGGGGCTTTCGTGAGAGGCACTCCAAAGGGGAGCATCTCCCGTGCAAACTCTGAGAGGGTTAACACCTGACCCCTGGGAAGCTGTGCTGAGGGTACAAGCGGCTGTGAGCTCCGCCTTCGTTCAGCTGCAGCCAGAGCGGCCAGACTGCTGTGCACCGCTTTCTCCTGGTCCCGGCCTGACAAGGCACCGTCGGGCCAGTGGACCTACAGTCTGCTGACGGCTCTTCCTGCTGCGCTGTGGCCGTCGTCCTGTTGTGTCCTTGCATGACTGAGGGAGAGGAAATCGTCGCTTTCTGGTCTCCTCCTGTCTTAACAGGAGCCCCAGTATGAGGGTTCTTCCTCATGACCTCATCACTGCCCAGACCCCATCTCCAAATACCACCACATTGGGGTGTAGAGTTTCAGCATGTGAAGCCCATAGTCGCTTCCAGTGGTCAGAGCAAATGCTCAGAGCCGATACCAGAGAGTGGGTGCCTGCGGGGCTGATGTGAGTGAAGGGGTGCCACGCCCAAGGACTCTCAGTTCCCACATTTACTGTCCTGTCCTCCTGCCGTGACTGGTAAATCTTAGCTTCAGTCTGAAAGACATGTCGAGCTGAGTGTCAGGAGAAGACGATAGAATACGACTCCCGAATCACAGCAGATTTGCATAAAACCAACTGCATTAGTATAAATACTTGCTGTACCCACAAAACTCTAAGAGGGCAATCTATGACCAATAAATGACCTTCCCAGGAGACTGAAAAATTCTGCACATAATTTTTGTTCTATGGATTCTTTTTGATGAAGTCAGATAAATGGACGAACCACTCAGTGTTAAGGCTACGAGTCAGGACCTTCTGCCTTCCCATCTAAGTTTCTCGTGTGCTAACATTCACTGGCCTCTCGTCTCCTTTAGAGGCTGTGGTGGTTCAGAGCATGGCTCAGTGTCTGGTGTGCATGTGCCCCTTGCTGACCAGTTAACCTCGTGGCCCCTCAGTCTTTATCCCTAAAGCGGGATGTGCTTAGTGCCTACTCCATCGTACGGTCAGGAGGCTTAAATGAGGCACCACACGGAATGCCACGCAGAATGCTCAGTGTGATACCTGGGGTATTGCAAATCCTCGATACGTGGTAACTAAGATTTACAGTTAGTAATATATTTTTTGAAACAGACGCTACTAATAGTATGTTCTTATACATTGAAGGTCAACCATCTTACCTATATTTCAGAAATCTCTGGTCTCTTATCTATTTCCCATTAATACAACTGTGGTAAACTTTAAAATCTTTACACCAATTTTTGGCAAATCCAATCATTGTGATTGCCTTTATTGATTATTCACTTAAATAGAAGCTCAAAGGCAGTGAAGATGGTCCTATTGGAATTTTAGATCGTGCCGAATTTTGAAATACAGAAAAGACTGAGATTGTATCATTTTCTCCGTTAACTGGGTCAGTACCTGAAAGCGTAGTTTTCACAAGTGTGTGTGTGTTTATTCTATGACACAGGTCATCGAGAATCCCTCTTCACAGAGGGCCACTGTCATCACTGCTCTGTACAGCAGCTTAAATAAAGTCATCCTGCATTGCCTCTCCAAGCCCCAGCAGTCCCTCTCGGAGTGCCTCAGCCTCCTCCGCACCCTGGACTTTCTGCAGGAGCACTGGGACATCGTCTTCGCCACCTACAACTCCAACTCCAGCTTCCTGCTGTGCCTCATGCACTGTCTGCTCCTGCTCAGTGAGAAGAGGTAGGTGCCTCCCGGTCTGTTTCTGGGCCCAGGGCTCACGGCAGAGAAGAAGCCTTCAGAGGTCAACATCAGTGACAGCAACCCTCGTTGATCTGGTTGTCCAAATTACGTACAATGTCTGATAGTATGGTAGGTTTTCCTCAAAACTGTCCATGGGACTGAGCATCTAGAATCGTCATAAAATAATACTTGACCCTATTTCCACAATTCTCAGGTTGTAAGAGTCTTCACTGATTTAATTTGGGGGGAAGACAACTCCAACATTTAATATGATTTCATGATGCAGGCAGATTTCGGAGATATTAACATTTGTCGAATACAACCATGTAATGGAAAAACATATAAAATACATTATATTATGTTAGCCAGGAATAATTTTGATTACAGAAAAAAACTATAGACAATTTATTATATAAAATAGCATCCAGAAGTACACTTGTATAAGAAATGCTAATAACAAAAAACTAATCTCATTACAATACTTTTCTTGAAGTCCAAAGTTTCAAGCCATGTTAGTTTTCTGTGTGCGTGTGTACTGTGTGTGTGTGTGCTCTGTGTACGCTGTGAGCTTGTTTGCGTGTGATCTGTGTATGTGCTCAGTGTGTGTGTGCTCTGTGTGTGTGTATGCTCTGTGTGTGCATGTGTGTTCTGTGTGTGTGCTATGTGTGCGTGTGTTCTGTGTGTGTGCTCTGTGTGCGTGTGTGCTCTGAGTGTGTGTGCTCTGCGTGTGCTTTGTGTGCATGTGTACTCTGTGCGTGCTCTGTGTGTGCGTGCTCTGTGTGCATGTGTTTTCTGTGTGTGCTTTGTGTGCGTGTGTGCTCTGCGCGTGTGTGCTCTACGTGTGCGTGTGCTCTGTGTGTGTGCTCTGCGTGTGTGCTCTGTGTGTGCTGCGTCTGTGCTCGGTGTGTGTGCTCTATGTGCGTGTGTGCTCTATGTGCATGTGCTTTGTGTGCATGTGTGCTCTGTGCGTGCTCTGTGTGCATGTGTGCTCTGTGTGTTCCGTGTGTGTGCTTTGTGTGCATGTGTGCTCTGCATGTGCGTGTGCTCTGTGTGTGTGCGCTCTGTGCGTGTGTGCTCTGTGTGTGTGCTATGTGTGCTGTGTTCTGTGCGTATGTGCTCTGTGTGTGCTGCATGTGTGCTCTTTGTGTGTGTGCTCTGTGCGTGTAGCTTTGTGTGCATGTGTGCTCTGTGTGCATGTGCTTTGTGTGCATGTGTGCTGTGTGTGTTCTGTGTGTGTGTGCTCTGTGTGCGTGTGTGCTCTGTGTGCGTGTGTGCTCTGTGTGCGTGCTCCGTGTGTTCTCTGTGTGTGCTTTGTGTGCATGTGTGCTCTGTGCGTGTGTGCTCTGTGTGTGTGTGTGCTCTGTGTGCGTGTGTGCTCTGTGTGCACGCTGTACGCATGCTCTGTGTGTGTGCTCTGTGCGTGTGCTCTGTGTGTGCGCTGTGTGTGTGTGCGCTCTGTGTGTGCTCTGTGCGTGTGTGCTCTGTGTGCGTGTGTGCTGTGTGTGTGCACTCTGCGTGTGTGTGCTGTGTGTGTGCTCTGTGTGTGTGCTGTGTGTATGCTCTGTGTGCGTGTGTGCGCTGTGTGTGTGCTCTGTGTGTGTGCTGTGTATGCTCTGTGCGTGTGCTCTGTGTGCATGTGTGTGCTCTGTGTGTGTGCGTGTGTGCCCTGTGTGCGTGCTCTATGTGCATGTGCTCTGTGTGTGTGCTCTGTGTGTGTGTGTGCTGTGTGTGTGCTCTGTGTGCGTGTGTGCTGTGTGTGCTCTGTGTGCGTGTGCTTTGTGTGTGTGTGCTGTGTGTGTGCGTGTGCGCTGTGTGTGCTCTGTGTGCGTGTGTGCTCTGCGTGTGTGCTCTGTGTGCGTGCTGTATGTGTGTGCGCGTGTGCACTGTGTGTGTGCTCTGTGTGTGTGCTCTGTATGCGTGCTGTGTGTGTGCTCTGTATGCGTGCTGTGTGCATGTGTGCTGTGTGTGTGCACTGTGTAAGTGCTCTGTGTGTGCGCTCTGTGTGCATGCTGTGTGCTGTTTGCTCTGTGTGCATGTGCTCTGTGTGCGTGTGCGCTGTGTGTGTGCTCTGTATGCGTGCTGTGTGCATGTGTGCTGTGTGTGTGCGCTGTGTAAGTGCTCTGTGTGTGCGCTCTGTGTGCGTGCTGTGTGCGTGTGCTCTGTGTGCTCTGTGTGTGTGTGCTCTGTGTGTGCTCTCTGCGCGCTGTGTGTGTGCTGTTTGCTCTGTGTGCATGTGCTCTGTGTGCGTGTGCGCTGTGTGTGCTCTGTGTGTGTGCTCTGTGTGTGCTATGTGTATGCTCTGTGTGTGTGCTCTGTGCGTGTGCTCTGTGTGCGTGTGTGTGCTCTGTGTGTGTGCTTTGTGTGCGTGTGTTCTCTGTGTGTGCTCTGTGTGTGTGTGCTCTGTGTGTGTGTGTGTGACCATCTGTATATGTCATGTATCACCTGCACCGTGGTGTCTTACTGCCTGTGAATATTCCTCATCTCTGGAGAGCCATGCTGAATGTAGAGGAACAGAGCACTGTGGGATATTACATTTTGGTCTAGTCCTTTTTTTTAGTATTATGCTTGATTATTGAAAAAAAAATCCCCCAAATCCCGTCAAGTTGACCCTTGAAAGTTGGAAGATAGTCGCGATCTGGGAAGCAATGGAGAATGCTCCTGGCCCCCAGCCCAGAGGAGGCCTTGCCTTTCATTGTTTGAAGTAAACACTCTGTTTTCAGTGTGTGGATTCAGTTGGGTGGTCTGTCTCTTCTGCATTTCAAGAATGGGGTCCCGTCCACACGGAAGGCACAGGTGAAGAGCGGGGTGCAGCTGGTCCGGGGTGGATGCCCCACCCTGTCTAGCAGAATGGACTCCAGCCTCCAGGGGGTCTCATTCCAGAAATGTGTTTTTCTTTTTAAACTTACCTTCATTGTTGAAAGTATTACAGATATCCCCCTTTTTTCCTCCGTTGGCCCCTCCTCCCCGCCGCCCTGCCTTCCCCACACTATTGTCTGTGTCCACTGGTTATACATAGTGCATATAAATTGCCATATGCTGTATTTTTTTATTTTCTGGTTTGTCATTTTCTGTTCAACTCGCAAACATGAACTGAGAGTGCATTCTGTGTGTTTGGCTGAGGAGCAGAGAAGAGCACACATGGACAGTAACATGACCAGGAGCCCTGGAGCACACAGTTCATGGGGATTCTAACATGTAAACCACTGCACCCCATTCAGAACCAACTCTGGGATTGTGGGGTCCAGAAAAGTGCAAGGGAGGATCCCTTGTTCAAAAATTACTGTGAACTTCAAACTAGTAAGAGAAGCGCCCACACATGGGGCCTTTCCGAGGGTGGACCACGCAACAGTGCACAGGTCTGAGGCCGTGACGCTGGCCCTGCCCCATTCCAGGCAGAGTGGGTCCATGTCGAACAGAGGCAGAGGTCAATGCTTTGCGGGGTCTGCAAAAAGAAATGACTGATTCTGCTGATGGGGAGACCAGGAGAGGGTTCAGGGGGTCTGCTGGGAGCATGGATTGGATTCAATAAGATAGGAACAAAAAATGGCATTTTTCCTATTTTCCAGAATGCTATTGTATAATACCTGTCATGGAAGTTGTTATAGCTGTTGGCTTGGACCTGCGAGATAGATTTTCCATGTTGATATGTAGTGTGTTTGGAGGATGATTATTTGTAATAAAGAACAATGGCATAACCCCACCGAAACGGATTTTATAGAGAAAATCTCTTGTCTACTAGTTACCCAGAAGGCTTCGGATTGGACCCTAAGCCTAGAGTGACTCCTTATCATCAAGTGTTTCTTTCTCCGAATGAAGAAGTGAGAGAAAAAAGAGTGGACAACCTCCCAAGTCTGAGTGACGGTACATTTCATGTGTTGTCTGTTTGGGGGGAGCAGGTGCATAGTGATACCCGCTGGGGTTGCATGCTTCAGTTTGTCTTTCCCGGGAAGAGGAAACATAGACTATGAAGGAGAGAGTCCAAGGCCAGAGTGAGCCCTAGAAGGTCCAGAACGATGTAGCAGCAGAGCGAGGTAACCCGATGGGGGTATCATGGGAGTGACTTTTGCATGTTAAAAATGGCCTGGACTGGCTGGGTGGGTGGATGCAAACAGAGCCTGTGGAACTTGGCTAGACTGAGACCCGGAGGACCTCGCTGTAAGTTGACTTCACATGTTCTTTGGCCTCTTGAATTTTACCTCGGACCACTGGATACGGCAGCTGGCGTGGCGTTTCAGTCCAAACCATTACATAGCTAGCTGTGTCTTCAGCTTTCTTCCCTAGAACATGGGAATGGAGGAAATAAACTCATTTATAAAGTGTTTGGCTTAATGGAGGTTATTTTTGGATTTTCTAAGATCAAGTCAAGTTAAAAGGAATGAGTTAAAAAAAAAAAAAAAACCAATCTCATTTGGATTCATTGTGTTCTGAGTGGCTGCTGCCTCTTGGTCCAAGGGGCTCTGGTAGACCTTCCTCCGGCAATTTGGTTTCCTGCCACTTACCAGTGATATTTTGTGATACTAGATGGTAGGCACAAGAGCCTGATTTCTACTCAAACAGGTACCCAAAGCCAGTGCTCACAACTCTTGTGAATTAACATTTTACTCTTGTAGTATTGACCCCAACATGAGCATTGGCATTTGGGGACTCGACTTGTAGAGTGGACCGAGCAGTGTCCTGGGATGAGCAGACAGGCTGGGACTAGAGGGGGACCTGGTGGTCCACACCCGAGGGAACGTAGGCACTATGGTGGGGCTGTGTGGGCATAGCAGCTGGAACAGCTTGGGAGACTTGCCATGTCCGGGCACATACAGGACACTGAGGTGGATGACTGGTGGGGAGCCTGTGCCAGTGCCAGGAAGGGGGACCTTGCTGGGTCCTGGTCCCATGGGTACGATTCTAGTTTTTGTGTCCATTCCTCCAAGAGGCTAATATAAAAAGGTTGAAAGGAGCTTTCTAGGAGAAGCCAGCTGGTTACCCAGAGTTCTCACAGATATCTCTCTGTTTGGTGTCAGAATTGGGAGGTGAGAGAAGGAAATTCCCTAAACCCATCGCCTGGGATTCCCAGCTCAGGACACAAGAGGATGGCAGGACTGGGTGGTGGGCGGTCAGAAGCAGGGGAGCAACAGCTCACGTGGATGTCGGTCGCACTGCAAAGCAGGATGGTGCTCAAAGCGTGTGAGGGACAGCAGCCATGACCGGCGCTGCGGGGTGCCGAGCTGCCTGACCACGGCCACGCTCTCTCCCAGTCCAACGCAGCATCCAGGGCGCCGTGCACACCCTCTGGCAGCAGCTCGTGGCACAGAGGCGGCAGGAGCTGGAGGACACCTTCAAGATTGATCTCTCTGTGAAGCCTGGGGACAGAGAAGTGAAGCTTGGAGAAGTCACCCCCCTCTGGGAGGAGATGATGCTCAAGGCCTGGCAGCATTACCTAGGTACCTGTCCAGTGGGCGCCAGGGTGGAGCTCCTGGGTGTCAGAGCCAGACTTCCCGAGGCTCCCCTTGGGGCTCGCAGCCTTCCCACGAGGCCTTCCCTTCCATCCTGGGGGTGGGACTTACATCACTGGAACCTCATGGACCTGCTCACAGAGAATAGATGCTTCTTTGCGTCTTAGGTGTAAGGAAGGCCAGAGGTGTCAGCCAGCAAGGGGACTCTAGAGACCTCTCAGACTGAAGGGCCGCCGTGTCCGAGCTCCATTCTGGGCTCTGCAGCTTGGGGTCTTGCTCTCATAGTCACCTGCCAAGCTGTGCAGTGACCTGGAGCCTCAGTTTCTTTGAAATCTTTCTTTTTTTAAAATATGTTTTTAAAGAGAGAGGAAGGAAGAGAGAGATTGAAACATTGATGTGAGAGAGAAGCATCACTTGGCTGCCTCCTGCACAGCCCCTACTGGGGATCAAGCCCTGACCGGGATACGAACCGGGACCTCCCAGTCCATGGGATGACACCCTAACCTCTTAGCCACACTGGCGGGCAGTGTCTTTGGGCTCTAAGTGAAAGTCTTCATCCCGAAGATATTAATGTTCCTTGCATTCTGTCAATAACTCAACATTTCACCCTCGTATTAATCGATGCAACTGTGAGATGATGCTTTAATTTTGCTTGAAGCGGTCACGGCTGTCCAATTACAGATCATATACTTGTTTCAAGTCTTTCAACCTCACGAAATTCAGTCTTCTAAGAGGTGGTTATTTCCATGTATATTGTCCCAGACTACTCAGTGGTGTAGCACCTCTTACTTCACTGGCTTCCCAAACTAGCCCAGGAACATTTGTGTCTACATACAGGCAATTTGAAGGCAAAATGTCAGGTTGCATTTCAGGGATGAATGCAGTTAAAGGACAACTTTGCGCGTGTCCATGTAGTGGAATAAAACAGCGAGAGGGACCATGACGCCCGCAAACGGCTCTGTCTACGCCCACAGCCATAGTTTGCAGACTTTCTGTATTTCAAGGCCCGTATTTTAAATATAATCGTGTTTATTCTCCACGACACCACACGAAGGGTGGATACTGTTATTCCCATTTTACAGAATGACAACACTGAGGCTTCGGAATGTTAGCCTCTTGCCTGACGGCCAGTGGGCTGTGCAGCCAGGGCTCTGCGCCAGGTCGGTGACCAGAACCCTACCGCGTTTCCCACTGCTCCCTTCTCAGAGGCACACTGGGCTCGAACCCCTGGCGGGCCTTTGGGGGCCAAGCCGGCCGCAGACACTGTGTGTGTTCTCAATCCCTCCTCTGACAGTCTCTGCTTCCCTGTCCCCAGCATCTGAGAAGAAATCTCTGGCCAGTCGCTCGAGTGCCGGTCACCACAGCAGAGTCACGTCGTGGAGCGAGAGCTTGTCCTCGGCCATGAGGCTGATCCCTGGGCGGCAGGCCAAGGACCCCGAGTGCAAGACAGAGGTGAGCCCAGACCCCATGTCCCTAAGAAGACCAGGAATTCTCTTGGTCCCCACGAGTCATGTCTCCTTGCTCTGCTGTTGACTGGATGAGTCTAATTCCATGTTCTTCTGGGCTCTCAAGTGTGAGCATGCGGCTTCCTGGACGAGAGGGGCGGGTCCTAGGCTAGCCTTCACTCTGAGAATGTGGCTCCTCGTGGGCACCCAGAGCAGGTGTTCCTGGTGGCATTAAAATCCAAGCCATTATCCTTGGGTGCTGGGTGTGCTCAGGGCACAGCAGCCCGTGGCTCAGTAGGAGCCAGTATATGGGCTCAGTGAAGGGGCCAGAAACATTGGTGCTGTTACTGGGGGATACGGCATTAGACCCTCTTGACTGCAAGGCTGAGACATTGGGGTTTTCTAATTCATTTCTCTAAAGCCGTATAACAAATGATCCTAAAATGCAATGGTATCAGCAATGACTTTTGTGTGATTATGGATACCGTGGTAAGCAGTTTGGGACATAGCAGGTCTGAGGGGTGTCTCTGCTCCATGATGTCTGGGCCTTTTCCAGAACCACTGGAAGGTTCTGGAAGGTTTCACTCACACGTCCGGGGTTGCTGCTGGCTTGAGTCTGAGAGCTTGGCTGAGCCTGTCGGTCGGAACACCTGCGCACAGCCTCTCCGTGTGTCCTGTGCTTCCGTGCGGCCGGTAGCCGGGCTTCCGGGAGCAGTTTCTACAGGGAGGGGAAGGCGAGAAGAGAGGGTGAGCAGGCAGAGCCACAGGTCTTGCCGTCCATGACCGCGCTTCAGACACGAGGCAGCACGGCCTCTGCTGTTCCTTCGCTGAGAGAGCCGCAGGGCCCCGCCCAGGTCCAGGGCAGGCGTGTGCCCTGCCTCCCGGGAGGAGGCACAGGTTCTACGGGGGTGCGGGGGCTGCTTTAGGAAAACAAGTGTCCTCTAGTCTAATGCTGGGCCCGTGGCTGATCTTGGGGCAGACTGTGATCAGTGAATGGACAGAGCCTTAGTCAGGGGACCCTGAGCTTTATCTCCTTCCCTCCCCTGTGGGACAGGTAACTGCAGGACACTGTGGGAAGGGGCCCCCTGGGGGGTAGCTTAGGCGGTTGGCAGACACGTCACACAATTTGAGTTCTCTGCTCATTTCACGTTGGAAGGTGAGCTTGACTGCAAAGCCCTCCTGCTCAGAGTCTGGGCCCTGCTGTCCCCGCGGGTCCACTGTGGGGAGTGACCAATGGGAGAGGCACTGTCATCAGATACTGGGGAGAAGATGGGGTACAGAGCTTCCTGCACCTGCCATGAGCCGAGGGTAGGAGGGGTTCTTCGCTCTAAGCTTCTGGCAACAGAAATGTCAAGATGCACGGAGAAAGAGCCTAAACTAGAGGGGTGGCCAGAAACCAGCTCGACCGGGCTGCGGGCCTGCTGGTGTCAGGACCAGGCTGGGCTGTGTCCCGAGCACCCTGGCCTGTGGCGGGCATCACGCCCTAAGTGTGGACACACACACTGGCTGAGCGAGCGAGCGGATAACTCACGTTTGTCTCAGGTGCATTACTCAGCGGTTGGCCCCATTCTGTAGATGTGGGAACTGAATCTAAGAGAAGCCAAGGGTCCGCAGCCAGGGGGTGGCAGAGGAAAGGTACTGTCCATCTCCTGCTCAGTGCAGGGTCTCAGACCATTCACAGCCCCTCAACCGCTGGTTTCCAACACTCACGGGAATGCGCTCTGTCCAGCAGAATATGAGGAGCCCTCAGGAGCTGCAGGTGCCTTGGGGTAGAGGACAGTTTACAAAGGTCCATTTGACCTCATCGCTTTCTCCGCAAGGAAACGCGTTCCACACGGGGTCATAGCGCTGAGCCCAGAGCTGTACCCACGCACTTTCTCTGGACCAACGCCATGTGTGGCAGGAGGGAGCCAGCCCCTGTGCCCTTGGCTTCACCCTGGAGCTCTGCTCCTTGACCGAGTGACCATTGTCCCTAGGAGGTTGGGTCATCTGGTTTGGGGCTAGGGACAGGGCGGCTGGGGTGGGGGCGTGGACATGCACTTTGTGGGAACCCTCCCAGGCTACCGATGCTGCCTGTTCCTGTGCCGCCCTCCCGCCCAGGTCACTGCCGTGGGCTCAGCGCAGCCGCCAAGTCCTGGGAGGCGGGGTGAGGGACCAGCTCATCCAGAAGAAGCTTCGGTAGGCTGCAGCGTTGGGGCCACGCAGGTTCTCAGTGGCTTGGCATTGCTCGCTCTCGACTCATTGAAAGATCTGGGGAAGAGAACACTTGAGATCGGCTCTGTGGTCTTGTGAAGGCAGGTTGTTCAAGATGTCTCTGCATCAACCCAGGTCTCAGTCACTCACTCAGTTACTCACTCAGTCAGCAAACACTCACTGAGTGCCGACTCTGGACCCTGCTCTAAGCACCAGCATTACAGATGACAGAAAAGCTAACGTGTCCTCTGCTTTCATGGGGTGAGGACCTGCAGTAACAGGTGTCACGCTCCTGAGCGTTGGGGGTGTCAACTGCAATGAGGAGGAATCGAGCGGGGAACTGGGAGAGGTGGCGAGAGATCGCCGGGTGCCCTCCGGGAAAGTGGTCGGGCGGAGAGGATCCCGGGCAAAGGCACGGAGGCAGGCGCAGGCCGGGTGCCCTAAAGCAGGAGAGGCCAGTGTGGCTGCACTAGGGTGGAGGGACACCCCAGGAACATAGCCGCAGCTGCTGCTCCCGGGAAGAGCTGTGCGTTCCCACAGCGACGCTCGGACAGCAGGCCTGCACTGCTGCGCTCCCCTCTGCGGTCTGCGCGCCCCGACGCTCGGAGACAGGAGCGCGGCCCTGCTCGCGTAGCTGCACCTGCTAGTGGGGCAAACTTCTGCGAAACACACGTACATACATGCACACCTGTTTACGCACACACATGCACGTGCATGCACACACCACATACATATCACACACACGTGCACATTGCACACACCCTCCCCCGGCTTCTTCCTTCCTGTTGGAGCCCCATTTGTGTATCTGTAAACCTGATTTGGTTTTGCTTTCTACACTTTATAACCTGTGGATTTTTAAAAGCCAAGTTATTTTTTTAAACAAAGTGGATTATGTTTTCATTTTACAAGTGACTGCATCTCTTCCAGTGCCTCAGGCTGGGCGGGGCACAGAGCCCGTTCCGAGGAAGGTTCTTAAGGACAGTGCAGGGAACCGCGTGGCGTCCGGCCTCCGCTGGGTGACCCCCAGCCTCAGACCCGCACTTGTCCTGCGTTCACACGGCTGCCTTTGTTGCTGACAGAGGCACAACTTCTCAGGTACATATGTACGCTGTGATGTCATAGGATAAGAGCATCAACTATTTGCCCTGGGGTCTGTTTAATTATTTTTAAAAATTAATTTTGATTATTACAGCTGATTACACCTCAGTGAGCAATGTAATTGATATTTTCTAATGCATCCCAAGGAACATTTTGTACAACACGTTTTTTGTTGTTGAAGGTTAAAGACTGCGTTATTGGTTTTTCCTAAATGTGCCCACATCATTAGTGCCTCCAGTGAGGAGGTCGCCATCTGGAAGCAGCAGCGTGGGGACATTACTCAGGCACAGTGCATGAAATTGGTGTTTCTGCATCTTTGGGCTCTCTTCTGGAAAGAAGAGGCTTGTAATTAAAGGAGCTGGTTTTGGAGGAAACATTATTCATTCGGTGTTATTCCTTATCATGTCAGCGCTGACAGCTTACAGCGCTGGGAAATTGTTCCTTGGCGTGGGACACGGTCCCGATGCCTTTGCCTACCTCCACTTCCCTAGGAGGTGTTTCCTGCTTGGCAGGTGAGCCTGGGGCAAGGCTGCAGTGATAGATGCTGTTTCTCCTTTTCCTCCCCTGCCCTCACCTTCTCTCTGGGATCCACTTTGAAGCGTGTCTCTGCCAGGGCGAAGGCTGTGGGTGCCAGCCTGCTGGACAGAGGCGGGATCTTGGGCTCCCTTGGGGCCACCGAAGGCCAGCTGGGGTGTGCTGGCAGCCGCCTCGTCGTCCCCCCTGCGGAGAACCCAGAGGGCACCACTCTGGCCAGCATTTCCCCCGCAGCAGTGGTCATGGCTTTGCTCCGCTGCTCAGTTTCGGACTTTTGTGTTTAAAAACAAGTTGAAGAAACACCTACGACCAACACTGGTTTCTTCATTTTGACAGATGGACCTTGGCAACAGTGTCAGTCAAAACTGTGTTAACTTACGGGAAACCAGGTGAGGGGTTGACCAGAACTCTCTATACTATCTTTAGACATTTTTGAAAATCTGAAGTAATTCCAGAATACAAAATATAGAGTGTGTCATCTTCTGTTTGGTGGTGGTTGTTTGAAGCATTTTTAAACAGAACGGGTGTCCTGGACATGGGAGCCGGGGACCAGGTGGGAGGGCTGAGAGGACGAGGGCCGCTGGCCTGGGCAGAGCAGAGGGGCGGCTGGCGGCAGGGTGGGTGGCGGGATGAGCACGGGGCAGGGTGGGGGCGCTGCGGCCCACGGGGTGCCGTTAAGCAGGGCGCAGACATCTCTGTGTGTACAGGTTAGATGGCAGGTCCGGACCCCGGGGAGGAGCCGGTGAGGGGACTAGCATCTCAGGAGCGAGATGATGGGGCTGCAGCAGCGGCTGTCGAGCCATGACATTGAAGAACACCCCGAGAACTCAGTTCAGCGGGGCTGAGATGAGCAGACAGAAAGGAGGCCGAGGAGCCAGGCCCAGGCCCTGAGACGAGGGTGTGTCCAGGCACAGGGGCCAGCGAGCTGGATGGTTCTGTTGTTTGTGCAGGGAATGGGGAGGAAGCAGACAGAGCAGAAAGATTGGGGTGCAGTGGGAGCGCCTCCAGGGGACGCAGCTGCCTGGCCTGTGTGTTGTCTGGCAAGTGAGTTGGATTTCACCCTACTTTCCTCCTGTCTCATGCAGGGGCGAGATTGGGGTCTTACAGAGGAGCACACCGTGGAGCAGGGCCAGGGCCTGCGTCCGTGTGTCCATGGCTTTTGGAGATAATTGAGCAAGCGTC